ACACCACCAAAGCAGCATTCCCAGGAGTCTGCAGGATTAGTGGAGAGCTCTCACCTCTGAGGCCCTGTCATTAGCTTTCTGTAACTGCCAGAAACTGGAGAAGACAGGGAAGAGGAGGAGATTCTTTTCTTCCTGCTTCTACCTTAATTCAGCTGCCTTTGTTACTACTGATCTTTGCCCTGCTCTCAAATTCAGCTGCTCTGTGTACAAACCTGTCCTGTGCTTACAGCTGAAAGGTTAAAGGAAGATTCAAAGCCCCAAACATCCCCATAATTTAAATTAATTTAATATATACCTTTGCTTACATCTTCACGTGTCCACATTTCTACATTTGTGCATTCATGTCCATCCATTTGTCTTTAGGGCAGGAAGCTGCTTTTGGAAAATGAAGGCCTGTGCCAATTTGAACCAAGAGAAGTGATCTAAAGTCCAGAAAATACAGTCTGGAGAAAAAAGTAAGTCCGGGGTTTCTTCTGTCTGGGAGGGACTGATGGGAGACACGATTGCTGCTTTCTGGAAAAGGTTATGTGGATAACAGAAGCAGGGGGAAAAGCTTGTTTTCTGTGACCATGTCTAGAAAAAAATTGATTTAAATTGCAACACAGGGAATTTCTGAAGATTGTGCCAAAGGTTTTAATACTGAGGATAATTAAGTGCTAGTAAACAGTATGGGAGACCAGACCCTACAGTGACTGGAGATTAACTGACCAATTTCTTGATCATTCCTAAGCCACAGAAATTACTTGCTTCAATGTAAGTTCATGGTTAGAGGATATACTAAAACAGAACACAGATTTAGAAAAATACCCTCAGAAGTCATCTAGTTTATCCTGCACCCCTAAACCAGGTTTAACTATATACAGTCTTAACACAAGTTTGCCTGGCTTACCTTCCCCTGCCCCCAAAAGTAAAAAGAATCAAAGTGGTTTACTAAGTTTTGCTGAGCAAACAAATATTTCTGTAACACACAAAACATAGTAGTTAGTATAGAAAAAAATGGCATTCAGTATAGGAGAACTGCATCTGTGTAAGACAATCAAATCACCAGAGCTGGCACATTAATAGTGATTCTCTTTCTGCTCAGCAGCCTGGAGTTTAGGGCATCCCCTGGATGCACAGGGAGCTAATCCAGGGCTGTTTTCCGACCATGGACAATTGTCACACTGCAGAGACGAGGGATTCTGGGAAGAATCTACTTTTAACCTTGTTCCACTACCGAGAAATGGTCAAAAGGAGGATTGGTTTCAAATTCACTAAAGAATACCAGCAGGAGACAGAGCCAGGAGTTCTCCTGCACTCTGCCAACACTGCTCCATTTTTTCAAAGTATCCATTCAGAGAGAACAACCCTCTGGTGGTTACAACAGTCCTTGTGTTTTAGTCTCCTGCCCCAATAAAGGTTAACAGGGACTGAAATGGAGCAACACATCCAAAAAGAGTGCAAGCACCTGAACCCTAAACAGCCTGTCAGGGAACTAATTTAACTCCAGGTAATAAGGTAGTTTTTGTTGTGACTTAAACAAATTTTGGTTTATTACTTTAGATTTCATTTAAACAATAATTTAAACTTAAAACAATTTCTTAACTATTTCAAGGCTATTTCATTTCAGCCAAAATCTTCTACAGCAAAGTCAATTTACTGCTTACAATCACTTAAATGTGACCAGCATAAAAATACTTAATATATATTTAGTCAGATACCAAAAACTTACACCTTTTGGCCACACAGTTGTTTATACTTTTAAGGTAGTCACAAATTATGTCATAAGGAAACAGAAAGCCATGAGAATTTTTCCTGAAGTCACATTGCATTGCATATCCATAAAAATCTGATGTATTAAGCAAAAAGGAAATATTTGTTCAAACTAGATTACTAATTTCTGCTCACCATCATCTCCAGTGCTTTAGAGCTAGTACTGAAAAATTTTGGATTCATACAAATTTTTCTACTTTCCTTTCCTCTTCTGGGGAAAAAAAAAAAAAAAAAGGAAGATGAGCTTTTCTGCTCTTCAAACTCCTGATGATGTTTCAGCTTTTAATTAGCTGGTTTTGGTATAAACTAACTGGTATATTTTTAAATCTGTAACTGTAAAATCATCATTAATTCATCACCTTCTGTTACTTTTGTTGAAGATATATATACTGTGAACAGTTTTTCAGGGTTTGGCTTTTGGTTGAGATTTCTGCTGCAAGTCTGTGTTGCTTGGCTACTTAAATTAGATTTATTTTATAGACCACGGTAATATACATCCTCTGTTATTTCATGGTTAGGAAGGAACTGAACCTCAGCTCTCTTCCTTCCTAAAAAAGTTCTTAAGCACCCTGCTACAGTAGGAATTCTAACCACCATTTCCAATTATTTTCTTCATATGTATTCAAAAGCATTTTCCATCTGCATGTAGTCTACAGGTTGGATCTGAATCTGTGGTTTTCAAATAATCAAAACTGGATTTTTAACAAATACTGTATCCTTAAAGATAAAGCCACGCAGCCACACCTGGGTCTTCTCATCCCATCCTACTCCAATTCAAATATGCAATATCCCTACAGAAAGTGGGAATTGTCTTTAATTTCATTTGTCATTGACAGTGGGAAAACAAAAACAACACAAACCACCAAAAATAAAAACTGGTAATAACACTTTATTCAAAGGTATAATTCAGGGTATTACCTTCTATTTCGTAATATGGAAAAAAGTTGGGACTGAAAACAATAAAACCAGCAAGCTCTGGGCCAAAAAAAGCTCTTCCAATAATCCCCTGAGGTAACAGTGATCCAGCCCTAGGAAAAAGGTACTTTGCCACTTCTCTCCTTCCCTTTCTTGCTGTAATGTTTGAAGTTCTGTGCAATGCAATGCAATTTCCAAATCCAGTTGAACCGTGAAAAGCAGTGACCTCTGAAAGTGTGAGCTGTCTCAACAGAGTTCAGAGGCACAAAAGTACATTCAGAGTTAATTCACAACAGACATCGTGACACAAACGTCTAAGAAACGTCCTCAGCCAGATCCAACCCAGCGGATCCAAGCCTAAGGACCAGCTGGCCAAGGAACAGTTTAAAATATCCCAGATACACGAACAGGGATTTGCTCGTCCCTCAAGCCACAGCAGAGAAAACGCAGGTTCCAGAGACAAAGCTCCTGCACAGGCAGTTGGAGGAAGGAGGGAAGTGACAAAAACTTAAATCCTCAGAGACATGGATGTACGTCAGCTCCTACCAGAGCCAAGCCTGACCAAGAATAAACAGAGCTAACGAGCCTGGAGCGGTGCCAATCAGCATTAGAGAAATTATGTGCCAGGCCAGGGAGTCAGCTAATCCACAGGAAGACTGTAAAAAACACTCCACAAGGGCTGCCGGAACTCACAGCTCCCAGCTGCCAAAGGCTCCTTCCCTCAGAGCCTTTCTAAAGTTTGGCTTTGGGATATCAAGCACGAGACTGCTGCTCAGCATGGTCTGGGGACAAGAGAAGAAAAGGAGGAACACAGGGCAAACTGGAAACTTCTTTTTGCTCACAGTCCTCTCCTGGAAGTAGGAAAAAGGGAAGGGCAGCTTCCTTTGCTGCAGATTCCAGCTGTTCTTTCAGCACAGCAGCCGAGCCGGGTGCCAGAGCTCAGCAAAAGCACAGAGCACAAGAGGTGCCTCAGAAAATGCAAACGGTTATTACACAGCTCAGGAGGAAAGTTGGTGTCTTCACTTGCAGGAAACAAACCAACCCAGAACCAACCACCAAACATATATTGTAATATAACCTCTGATATCAAACTCTGTGAAGTGCCCCAAGGGCAGGATTTGCCTCCAGCTCAGCTGTTCCCCACCTTGACAGCCCCAAGAGCAAGAAGCACCAAGACATTTGCAAGTCAAGACCCACAAGAGAAACACATCCAAGAAAGACAGACTTCCAGCACACACAGCTTTGGGTTTGGCTACTAGCAGAATCTAGGGAAGATCAACAACAGGATACTAGTTCTTTAGGGAGAAGAGAAAACCAGGAATAAGACAAGCTGCCTCAGTATAGCTAAACATGAACACTCAAACCCAAAATACTGGGATTTGTCAAGATATTAAGCTGTAATTGTGATTATTAATGTGACATTGTAACTCACAGCATTTTCCAAATCAACAGAGCCAGCACTGCTTTGGCAGCATGAGATGTTTTCTTTCTTTTAAATACACCAATAACCATAATCCTCACTTCAACAAAGTTGGGGTATTTTGTTCTTTAAACAGGACAGTAGATGCTTATCTTGGCACAGCAAACATTCCTCCAAAGCCACACTTTGGCTTCCTTTCCCCCCATTTTCTTTGACAGTATCCAAAACATTAGCCTCTCCAGACCCAAGCCAACACAGAAGCCAGTAGAAGCTGCAGGTACTCAACCCATCTCAAAAGTACAGGCCTCTTCAGAAACGTGGTTCTGGGGCATGAAAACTGGACTGAATATTCATGAAACACTAACAAGGGGCATTACTCCTACCACCAGAAAAACCCATGGCAGATATCCCTTTTTTTCCTTGCTGATAGCAACATTATCCAACAGATTTCGTAAGTTTGTCTGCCTTAAGTGTCTGAAAAGGAGAGAAAGCAAAAGGCAAGATCCCCCTGCCCTCCCTCCCCTGTATCAGCACTCTGATAACACCATGCACCTGCCACATATGGACAAAGCAACAGGCTATGCAAATTGCCTGGGCACTACTCTGGAATGCAGCTGAAGGCAAGCGTGCAGCCCATGGCTTCTGCTGCCACCAGTAAATCAGAGCTTTTATTTGCACTTTATCCCGTGTGCGTCAGCACAGCCACCCTCTGCCAGGCAGTGTCTGACTGATGCTGGGACCGGACGCTGGTCCCTGAGGGACATCGGAAAACAAGGGCTCAGAACAGCTCAGGCACAGAGGTCACAGGGACAGCTCCTGGTTTATGTTGGTACCTCACTCAGGTACTTCAGCACCAGGTCCTAAGCCAGTGGAACAGCATGAGGAGGGTTTAACAGGCCAAAGCTTTACCTACCGAAAGCAGGAGATGTGCCAGGCTTCGTTGACAGTCTTGTAGAGGCGCTGCCCGGCAGCGATGCTGTCCCCACATCCCAGACATCTCCAGACTTCTTCACCTGCATGCAGGGATAACATGACAAACAGTAACCAGTTTACATCAGAGAAAACAAGGAATGCTGCCTCCCTCTTAAAGAATAACCTTAAATTAATTAACTGGCAGGAAAGTCTTCACACTTGGAAAGTTCAACCAACACCAGGTAGTCTGTAACTCCTGAGAGTGGAGCTCCCAAATCAAACTCTGACATCTTAGATATTACTTTTTTTTTCTTCGGACATGACATCTGCTCCTTCACATTCTGGAGAAGGAAGCAATACGACTTTCCACATAAACCAGCTCAGTTATAGCTCTGCTAAAGCAGAGATTTCAGGAAGGCTGGCTGCTGCAGTACAACAATTCCCATAGAGAACGACACTAGGCCAGGAAGCCACGCTACTGCTTCCCCCACACCACTGACTCAGCACACAGCGTTTGCTCTCATTTGTATAATTAAATGGATTTCCCAGAACTGAAAGAAAGGAAAGGCAAACTTTATTCAGTAGAGAACAACTTGACTACCGGGAAGGAATTACCCACTTGAATGAATATTCCTGTAGAGGCTGTATAGCCAACACCAGGCTACTGTCAGACTTAGGAAGAGAGAGTGATGCTACTGGCCTATTGCCCCTTCAGAAAATACTTAAAATAGTTATAATAGAGTTATAATAGTTTCTGCTAGGACTGCCAGAAAGCCCCAGAGCTGGTTCCTTAGATGCAGGCGAGCTAGGAAAACAGAATGAAAGCCTGTGCACAAAGAGCATTTGGCACACAGATAAATGCTATCCCAAATCCCAACAGCACTGCGGGCATACTAAAGAGTCAGGGATCTGGATGAGCACAGGAGGGCACAGCGAGCATGTGCTGAGCAGATCTCAAACCTGTTTCTTCCTGCTACCAACAGTTTGCTTGCATTAAGGGCTGCATAAGGAAAAAAGTGCACTTAGAGAAGGAAAACCACAAACCACGAACTTCCATTTTCCAAAGAACGTTACAACTCGGTAGTTGCTCAGGCAAGTCAATACCATGATTAAGTTCCTTGAAGCTACACAAAACAGAAGCCATCAGCCTTCCACGCACTTTGACCCCACCGTGTAGGTCAGCGACAATGTTTAAAATTAACCAAGGTGAAGATCTTGCATGTTTTACAAAAGTAGTGATTTAGGAGGAAAACCACTTGTTGCTCAGCCACAGGCACCACTCTCTCCAGCAGACTGGCAGCACCCAGAAACGTCTCCCTGCAGACTGCAGGGCTCAGAGGATTCATTCAAACGGGACATGTGGTGTAAGTTGCCACTTCTGTTCCCAGCTGGGCATCGGCTCCACACCGGGGAGCACCTGCCCCTGTGCCCTCCTGCTCTCCAGAACACCAAGAATTGCACCTGAGCTCAGACTTGCACAGCAGAGTAAGGGTTAGGAGAAACTTGGAAAAAGCTGGCACTACCCGTGTTCTTCTATAAAGTAAATTGCTTTTCAGCACGCCAAACGGGCTTGGGAATAAAAGGCAAAGCCACACGTGCGTGTACCTGCGTGTATAGGCAGCAGAGACTCTCCTCTCCAAGCAGGGCAAGCCCTGTAAGTCAGCTGAACTTGTGGAATTGCTGCAGGCCAAAAACACCTGCAAACCAGACACCCTGCAGCTCCACGCCCCCCCTTCAGTGCCACCAGCACAAGGAACACATGTCAATGTGGTCAGCGGATCCCGTTAAAGCCATGTAAAGACCGAGGACTATGCCACAGCTGACTAAAAGCAACAGATTCCTCCACAACCATCACACAGGACTTGACCCACGAGCTCCCAAGCCCCGGCAGCAGCCGCCTGACGCTGCTGCGGTCCTACATCTGTTTGGGAAGGCTGATTAGCTCAGAACGGAAACGAACAGTCCTAAATCCGACCGAAACTGTTCAGTATCCAGGAGAAACGACGGAAATGAACAAAACAGAGCAGGAAACGGCGCGAAGGAAAGGCAAACGGACATAATCAATGTAGCAGGTCCTGCCGGGTCCCCCAGGACGGCAGGAATGTTTGAGGGGTGACCAGCGAGGAGCGGCCCCGGCGGGCACCGGCCGAGCCCCGGGGGCAACGCGGGACCCCGAGCGGGACACGGGGCCGAGGGCACCCGCGCTGCAGGACCCCGTGCGGGCTGCGGCCGCACCTCCATCGCTTCCCCGCGGGGTTCGCTGCACCGGGACCTCCGGGAACCCCCCGCGCCGCGCGTGGAGCCGCGGACCGGCGGAGGGAACCACGGGCCGGCTGCAGCCCGCTATCCGGACACGGGCTGACACCCGGCCAGGGCGCGGGCTCCGAAGGCAGCGGCCCAGCCGAGCCCCGCAGGTGCCTCCCCGCGGCACAAACGACGCACCGGCGCCCGCATAACGGACCGGGGGGGAGCCGCGGCCTCGCGACCGCGCCCTCGCGCCCGTGGTGGCGGAGGGCGGCCCCTCCCGCGGGGGCGCGGCCCGGCCCGGCCCGGCCCGAGCTCACCTGGCAGCGCCTCCATCCCGCGCCCGCCGCCCGCTCCCGCCCGTCGCCAGCGGGTCCCGCCGCACCTGGACCCGCCTCCCGCGGCCCCGCAGCGCCGCGCCCCGCCTTCCTCCTCCCCGCGGGCCAATCGGCACCGCCCGCCTGCCGCTCCCGCCAATCCCCGCGCCGCCCCGCCCCGGTCGCCCCGCCCCTTCCGCGCTGGCGGCCAATGACAGCACGTGCTGCCCCCCGACCCCGCCCCGCACGTGCCGTGGCGGGCGCGGCGCTGGGCGGGCCCCGCCCCCTCCGGCCCCCTGAGGGAGGCGCGTCCCCGCCGCTCCCGGCCCCCCGAAGGAACGGCAGCGCACTCCGGTCAATGTAAAACCATTTTTTTTTTTTAATTCTAAATCACTTTCACAACAGTGAAAATTAGTGAGGAGGAGGAGGAGGAGGAGAAGGAAGAACGGTAACGCACTAACCGAGCCGTCCGGGCCGTGTGCGGGCGGGTGCGGGGCAGGGGTACATACAAAAGCACACCGGGGAAAGGGGGGAACCAAGCGTTAACACTTTTAGACGATTTAATCTTGGAATTGCCCGAAAATAAGAGCTCTCAGTCATGTTTCTGCAGCCTCCTCTAAATGCATTATATCTCTCACCTATAGATGGAAGGCCCCCCAATGCATTAAAATTCCGTATTTTAAAACATAAGTCCTAGTTAAATATGTTTCAATACCTCTTGAACCTATTGCAGTCAGTTCTCTCTCCTCTTTATGGGAAAAAGGCTTCCAAGGGATACCCTGCTCCTCCCTGGACGACCTCTGCTCCCAGCAGCGAGTTTCTCCACTCAAAAAGGAGAAGGAATCCATCCCTTCCCACCACATGGGCCCTCCCTTCCCATCAGCAGGTGGTGCTGGCTCAGCAGGAGAGGAGCAGGAGAGGAGCCCGAAGCTGCAACATTGCAGGACAGCCACACCAACAGCCTTTCTCCTGGAAAGGGCCCCAGTTACATGTTATGCACTTGAGAAGAACCCTGTACAGAAGTTCAGCTTCCCAAAAGTGCCACACAACAAAAGCTGAAGCACCACTTCAGCTATAAATAGTTGAGCAATATACTGTGCCAGATTATCATCCAGTCAGGTATAAATTTGACCACATGTGGCAAAACACTGCAGAAGCTTTGCAACATTCTACTTGCCAGATGGAGCTTTGGAGGTAGGCAAGTTAAACTTCAGTCATCCTCTGTCTTGACACTAAAAGTGAACAGTTTATAATCACATAAATAAGCTTCTACAACAATTAAGGTGTCCTGCCCAGGAACCTCTTCCATATACACTAGAAAAACCCCAAGCTACTGAAACAAAGTTTCTATTTGTTGATTTGTTTTGTCAGTTTTCTGTCTATTGCCAGAGAAGTCACAATATTCATCTTGCAGGAAATCAATGAGACTATCAGCGACCTGAATCGAAACAATCTAAAAACAATAAGAGAAAAAAAAAATGGAATTGCCTAGTTAGAGAAATATGAAAACTGTTCATCTTGCTAGGGAATCTCTCGTATCTGCTGTTGTGAAGGAATCTACACAAATACATCAGGAGTACTCTTTAAAGCTGAATACCCAGCAGGATTCCAAAACGGCTACAGAGTGCTCACCTTCTGAAATATCCCCTCAGCACATTAATGGCTGTGGTCTCCTCCAGCACTTCAAATTAAACTCTTTGGTAGATACTGCAGAGACTCTTGTGCTGTGGCCGTTCTGCTGTGGCTCGGAGAAGCTGTGTGCACCTGCAGAGAGAAGGTCTTCCAAGTGTTCCCTACCGTGCATGTGCTGGCAAAGGCAGGATCTCATTTTTCCTCCTGTGCAATTTTACAGTGTGACAGGTTTAACCTCAAACCTCACGTAAAGATGCCTTTTGTTCCTCTCCCCGAACGAGCTGATCTCGGATCTGTAATAGGATTTTATTTGGAGGACATGACCTTGCGTAGAAAGTCTCAAAGCCTTGGGAGGGGATAACTGTCGCTACCGTGACGAGGCTGTGAGGGGTGAGGGGATTATCCACGAGTGCAGCCCCGGGGCTGTGCAGAGCCAGGGGAGACAACACTGCTGGTCAGTGAGGAACTGGGCTGGGTGAGGCAGCGGCTGTGTCCAGCCTCACCCGGCTCCACAGCCAGAGAATCTTCCAGTGTCTGGCTCCAGCATGTTCAGGCTTTAAAAAATTGCAGCATAAATTTGTATCCCTTCTTCCAGCAGCCGTCAGAACCACGTCAGGAAGGGGTTTCCATCACGCCGGGAAATAACAGCAGGAAAAGGAACCGGTCTCCGGACCTGGTTCCATTTGCACCACGTGCTGTGCCCAAAGAGTGTCAGCAGTGCTGCAGGTGATTTCCTGGAGAAGGCTGGATGTTGATGGAGACATTAAATAACATCTGCAGCTCTGGCAGATCCATCGTGGTTGCAAAGCATGAGATACTGGTCACACTGGAGAAGTTTCCTGACCTGCCCAGTCTACCTGGGGGTCCCTGTCTGTCCCACAGACCTGGTGTCACTGATTGGCACAGGATTTCAGAGCAGCACTCCCTTGGGAGCACAGCTCAACGCTAGGCCCATGGTTTGTGGCAGGAACCTGTTGTACAAGATATCTGAGCTGAAAAATGCTTTTTAACCAATGTTTAATTTGCAACTCTGGTGCAAAATGCGAGATTCCTCATTGTGCTGTGGTACCACCAATTCCTGAAGCCCATAGTTAGCTACGGAACCAGACCAAGAGGTTTAAAGTGGGATGGGGATGCAGTTTGTAACTGTTTCAGTGGCCTTGTTGGTCATGAATATATAGAATAATGGAAAAGATTTATGCAATCAACAGCCAGAACATTATCACCAGTGCCACAAACAGGAAGAGGCGGGAAAGGAACTGCTCATCCACATATTGAGGAGTCCCTGGAACAGCTGGAAAACAGGAAGTGAAAAAAAAGAAACAAAAAACAGTTGAGCTCCTTCCTCTTCTCCAGGATCGTGCATACTCTGAACACAGTAGACAGTGCTGAGCCAAGTTCACTGTTCCCAAGGAACTTCACTACCTCTACCTGAGCTGCCTCTGTTCCTTCCCACCAAGGTGAAACCTCTGAACAAGGAAATGGTAAAAGGGTCAGAGCTGCCTGTGCAGCCCTGGCCAAGAGAACTAATGAAAAGCACATGAGCTCTAAAACTCAAGCTGTGCCTTTCTGGAACTTCTGCATTGAATCCACCAAGGAAAAACAGATAAAGGAGTTGGTTAAATTATGGCTGTTACAACAGCACATATTTACACACTCCTGGCTCAGCCACCACACACACTGATTTTTAGGGGACACTTAACTATGGGGAAGGTAACTGGACCTAAGGATAGCACAGGACTGTGGCAACACAGCTGTGACATGAAGAATGAGCTTCTTCCTCGTAATTCCTGTGCCATATGACATGGTGGAAGATTTGCCAGGCACAACCATTCACAGAGGAAGTCCAGAAAATCCTGGGCAGTAAGTTTTCTTGTTCAAAACAGACAGACTCAGATTGTCTCCAGTGTAGATGGGGAAGAGGTTTTCTAGGGATTACTTAATTTTTAGAGAGCAAGGTCACCACTTGGAGTAACCCAACTGGTTTTTGTTAATCAAAACCAGCAAAATAATTTCACTGGAAAGTTACTTCTTGTGGAATAGAGATGACTGTCTCAGAGATAAATTTCTGAAAAAGGAACAATCTTGGCATTCATTATTTCGTGGTACAGAGCACGTTTAAATTTTTCCTTCTCATCTTGCAGGAAATGGTCCTTTCCCGCTGTTTTCAAAATCTAGGTCTCCTTCATACACCCCTAGTGACTCCTTTTTATTATTAGAAACTCTAGTCCAATTTGTCTCATTTTTCAGAGGGAGTCTGCTGAGTACCAGAGGAGACATCTGTATTAAAAGGGAGAAGTCTCCAGTGCCACTGTCCCTCTCCAGTGCCACTGTTCTCCCGGGAGGGCCTTTAAATGATACGGAAGGGACAAACTTGCTTCTTTATGAGCCCATGTACAAAATGTGTCAGCCTTAAACCATGTTCTGTGCTGGGCGTTTGCCCTCATGTTGTGTTTCTATTCACAGCACCTGTTATTGCTGAGAACATTCTGTCATTGTAGCAGGTTATTTGTTTAAGAGTTACAAGGGAGTTTGTAACACATGTCTGTGACAGGACCCTTGGCGGAGGTGGATCTGTGGTACCTGGAGGAGGTCGCCCGTCGTTTATGTTGAAGGCTGTTGCAAATATACCAAAGGGAAACGCCCCAATTCCAAAGGACATCTGGAAGCCACCATCACCAAAGCCAAAGCCCTGGAATCCCTGCAGAGAACAAAGCAGCAGGAGACAAAAAAGGTAACAATCATTTAAAGCCTATTTCAGAATATTGTGTAGAAGTGCAGACATTCCCTCCCTCTGGCTCTCCTCCACCTGAAGGAAGGCCATGCTGTCTGACAATTTTCTCTCTGACACACTATTGTAAATATCTCCTTAGTTCTCCTGGTTTTAAAATGTTTCACACAGTAGCAAACTTTGCAGAGCAACCCAAAACTTTGAGAAAATGAAAACTAGGAACCACAGTTTTTGCTTGAAAGCCACAAGTTCACAAAAGTGTATCTGTAACATTTCTCAGCTTAAAGTAGTAGATATTTGCCAATGTATCAAAATCAACATTACCAATCCTATTTAGAATATCTAAACAATGTATTGTGTGTTAATAGCTATTAGCCACATAACTATAAGAAAGGTATTTTAAAAAAATAATCTACATTGATTTTCTTGATACATGTGCGTCATTCAAACACTCAGTGAAGTGATAAATTGCCAGTGGGATGCAAAGAGCATTATAAGGAATAGTACAAAAAAAAAAATTTACCAGGGGGACTCTAATTAAGGTGTCAGATAAAGTCACCTGGGGCAGGAATGCAAGACATAAAGAAAGGAGGAAAAAAGGAAGAGTTACAATGCAACACTGACCCCATGGGATCCAGACTAAAACACCACATCAAGTCAAAAGACAAGTCTTGTGAATGGAGATGAATCCTGCTGTGGAGAAGCACTGTGCTACTGGAGAACCAGCTGTGTGTGGATCTAGAGAGTTGTGTCATGTTTAAAAACTGCTGAGAGCCCACACTTCTGTAATCCAGCCACCTGCCCTCTCATCTCAGAACTGAAACAGTGATACCAATTCTGAAAGACCCTCTGGTCTGTCACCTCCCAACAGTGGGAGGACAAAGATGATTTCACTCATATAATAAAAGCCAAACATTTCTGGACCGAGCCTTGATTTGAGGAGTTGGTCTTTTGACTGTGACTCTTCTCAAGGACTTTGCCATAAACTATGAGGGACAGCAAAGCTCTCTGTGTGCAGGTACAGGGCTTGTAGGGAACAGGAGGGCAGCATTGCTGCTGGTCTTCGTACCAGACTCCTCTGACTTCCAGCAGCACCAGCTCAAAGGTTCAAACAAGGTGCAGGAGCTGATTTAATAAGGCAGCAACTCCCTTAACAGCTGAGCTCCCAACATATTCAATACAGAAATGTGCCTTAATCACACCCAGCAGAGTTGTTTGCCTGCAGCATGAGGCAGATAAATCCTCTCTGAGGACCCCAGGCTGTGTTACATGGAAATGTGCCATTGTTTCATCAGGTCCTGCTGAAGAACTGTCCTACTGCCTTCTCCCACGTCTGCTCAGCCTGTGCCAGCTGCTGTTTAAATGCACTCCATGTCATCTCCTCAACAACACCAGAGATCCCTCTCCACATGAACATGTATCCAACAGATACCTTCTTTCTTTTGCTTGTAATGCCATGGTACAGTAACATCCCACAGAAATTATAGAAGCAGGTTTCAGTGCCAGAAATCCCAGTTCATACATGAATTATGTATTTCCATGACAGGTATATTTTGATGGAAACACACTTCCACAATGGATTTTCAAAGCAAAGTGTTCCTTGTATTTACATGGGAAACAATTGAGCATGAAGAGCATTTCCAGTGACACCACACTGGGCCATTTTCACAAAGCACAATCCAAGTTAGCCCGTTCTTTGGGATGCTAAAGGAATGGAGTTTTCTGCCACACCACAGCTATGAATGATTCATGACCAGCCAACTGGGGATGAGCAAGATGTGTAAGCTGCAGGATCCTCACACAGGATCTCAAGCACACACTGTGTCCTCCAGGAGGAATAAATACCACCATCAACAAAAACAACTAATCAGCCCGAGCTTGTTTCTTCACTTACCCCTCTGTTCTCTGGTTCAGGTCTCTGTCCTTGGGGTCGTGGTGGAGTTTTCTCTCTGCAGGAAGTTATGAAATTAGCTCAAGTGCAAGGACACATGACAGTAGTGTCTGCAATAGCCTGGCTAATAAGGCAGAGCAACCACAAAGCTCGGTCCCACAGGGCCAGGCTGCAGCAGAGCTGGAGCAGTGTGTGAGAGAGCCAACCCCCAGCTCCTGGACCTTCAGCAGCACATCCCCAAGTTATTGCTGCGCTTTTGAATAACAGAAGTCCCATTGCAAAGGCTAAAAACTCAGGACATGAACATTTTATAGGAGCTTATCCAGCCAGATAACAATCATTGCAACCTGCCACTTGTGACTGATAATTAACACCCAGTTAAAATTCAAATGAATTGCCAGTTGAACATGAAATGAGGTGTGTAAACCCAGGCCCTGAAAAAGCCAGAAATATTTGGCAGAAATGTCAGTTCTGTCTTTTGTCAAAGTATTACAAATTATGAATCCAGCACTTTGACAGATTAATCTTGAGACAGCTAACTGAAGTTTCATCTTTAGCTTTCAAACAAAAATAGTTGTATTTAGGTTTCTTACCTGGGGTCCTGCTGCCCAGTGCTACCTCTTCCATACAGAGGAATAACTTTATCTCGACTGATTCCTGCTTTGCATACAGGACACACTTGCCTGTTTGGCCTGGTCTCTAGCCACTAAAAGAAAGGACATGATAAGGAAACTAGTAAATGACCATGAAACAACAATATCCAAACCTCATTTGCAGCCAGGCAGAGAGACTTTAGCAATTCCTCAGAAAGCCCCAGAGCAAACCATTTTAATAAGTGCCAAGTGCTCTCCAAAATGGAGCTGGCACTTTGGCTGTTGTTCTGGTATGATCCACTTGCTGATGTGCACACATTCAGACCTGCCCTGGAGTAAAATATGAAGAAATAAACAGTGCCAAGAGTCCTGCATAGGCCCAGGGCTAAGTGCAGACACCCTCCTTTCACCCAGCTTTTCCATAAGGTACCACAATGTAAAACTTTACAAACGCAGAGAGAAGTACACCCAGCACTTAAACCTGCAAAGGAACCCCCTACAGTAATTCTACCAAAACTGGAAATACTCAGGTGGAACAGAATTAAGTTTTCATGCTGAAAGAGCAGTTTGCAAGGTGTTGCACATGCAGTTGCATTAGCAGGTTGTGATTGCCCTGGAGAGAAAAGCACATTTAAAAAGAGGGGGATACTCCAGAGAACCAAGGGCTTTATTGAGCAACAGGAGCTGATGAAAGACAAAGTAAAAGGAAACCTGTCTTACCTGATGTAAACAAGGCCAACTGTGAGCATTCCCAGGACAATTTGTTCGCAGAGCAGAAAAAGGGGGAAAATAGAATTAGTTACTGACAACTCGATCCGACAAATGTACACGGATAGCATGGCTTGGCCACAGCAGAACCCTGGAATCCAGCTGGGCCAGTTCTGTAACCTCCCATTAAAGTAATTTCTGAAAGTACAGCCCAAGACTGATCTCCACTGGTTCTTTCAGGTTACACAATCTAAGTTGCAAAGGTGGTTCTGTGCATATCCCCTTCGATTCCTCGTCCTCTTCCACACCAAAGGCCCACACAGAGGCTGCATCAATCCTGGGGTTCACTGTGCAAACTGGCTATTCTGATACCATGGAAAGATATCTCTGAGCTAAGATGCAAATGAGCAAGATGTCAGTAATGAGACTTCAGGATCTTAAAAGATTTAGCTGAAACATCAGCCACATTCATAGAATCATGGAATAACTCAGGCTGGACAGTATCTCAGGTAGCCTGTAGTCCAACCTGATGCTCAGAGCAGGGTCAGCTATTGAGATCAGACCCAGTTGCTCAGGGCAGAAAAATTCCCATTATACAGATTAAATTAATATGGCAAATTAAAAAAAGGTCAAAGAAAACAAGGCTACAAGACAAGACTGCAAACAGCCATCTGCTCTCAAAATGGTCTCGACAACCCTATTCAGACAAGACACATGCTATTTTTAAGGTTCCATTCTTCCAGATCCCTTTGTGCAATAATTCAATCTAATTTTATCTTAACAAGCCATTAGCCAGTGATTTTCCATCTCCTCAAATAAAAATCTGGATTTTCAGATGTTATGTACATTTACACAGAAAAGAAATGCTCTTTTAGGCCTCTTTTTATTAAAGATTTAGCCTCCTGTGTAAAATAACCCCCCAAATCCCCACATTTGGCCATGTCAATCCTTAACAACTTCCTAACATTCAAGAAAGAGTATATTCAAACCAAGTTACCCAAATTAGAAATGCTGCACGTGTGTTATATCTGTGCTGTAAGTTATTTCCATGTCAGATCAAAGAACTGAAAAGTTCCTATTACAACTGCAATACCATGGAAAAAGAGAAATACCCCATATGGAAAAGCTCATTGCCTAATTTTTTTTCCTTTTTATGGTTTCAAAGGAAAAAACAGCCAAGCCTGTGGGAGAAACTACAGTTTGGCCTCCATGACCTGGATTCAAAGGCAGGTTTAGGTCTGCACAGGTTAGAAAGGTCTAAAGAAGATGTCTGTGCTAGGCCAGACAGCACAAATAAAATAACACACAAAACCAAGCAGTATCAATGAGCTCTGAACTGTCTGTGTGGGGCTGCTTGTTTGCTTTTACAGAATAATCACAATATTCTGAGTTGGAAGGGACCCACAAGGCTCATCGAGTCCCACTCTTACAGGAATGGCCAGAAGTACAGAAGTTTAAGATGCAAGAAACCCACTCCTGGACCATGAGCAAAGAACAACAGCTGAGAAGTTTCTCCTAAACCAAACCCATGGTCCTTACTCATTTTATACAGGACATTTGACATCTGAAATTATAAAAAGCACAGGATTCTACGGGATCAGCTGGATGGTGCTGATCTAGGGGCTGAGCTGTGGGGGTGGGAGCACTTACCAGAAGAGGTGCCCACACAAGCTGATCACTGCATCCTTGGCAGTGTCCAAGCAGATGTTACATTCAAAAGTGTTGTCCTGATTAGTGTTGTCCCCGGGACCGTTACTGCTGCTGCCACTGGTCCCTCCAGTGCTGGAGCTCTTGGTTGATGCAGAAGCTGTGGGTCCTTTGCTTGCCATCCTCAAGAACTACCCAGACACGAGGTCAAGAAAATTTTCCTGTTGGAATCCTAGCAGTGAGAAAGGGAAAAAAACCAAACAAACCCAACTTCTTGGCGTTATAACATTGCATTCTGGTCCTGTTCCAAACTGGTAGTGATTTATCTAAGAAGCTCTTGAATCCTGTTGTTGATGGTTTTAGTCTAACATAGCCAAGAGGGATCTTTTTTTAGAAACTAAGCTACTTTACAGTCCTGTAGTATGACCTGGCTGGTGTGTGACCTGTATTTTACTGTTACTGATAAGCAACTGAGATCCACAGCCAAAACAAACCCCCTGTATTTTCTCAGAAATGCCATTTGCTGTAAGAGGAATGAGCTCCCCTAGTCACACACGCTCTTCCAAAATTCAAGACAAGTTAGAACTGCAAGTGCAGTCTGAAATGGGATTTAATCATGAAGCCATTCTCAGTTTGGACAGACTGACAATGCAGAGTTCAGTGTTCATTACTTTGGAATATTAATGATAATAATGATAAGCAAAGGCAGCTTAGAACTTGATTTGTCTCCTGAGCCGTATATTGCTGCTATCACAGCAATGTGTTGACACAACTATCAAACATTTCTAGTACTTTCAAACTATCAAGCATTTCTAATGCAGTAGTAATGCAGAAGTACTAAAAATGGTACCTTAATGCTCTTTAATTTTACTCACTACTCATTAACATCATCATATTTAGCAGAGAACACCATTTATTTTATTTCAGTAGCAACAACCTCCACAGTCTCATCCTTGATATGTAAATTCCACAGTACCTAAATCTTTGAGACTCAGCACAAGGCATTTACATTTCCAGAAACAAACACTCTTAGCAGTGTAATATTTTTAATCTAAGAACTAAGACAGTTTCAGCAGTTAGATATATTAATTCACTGAAACAAAAATGTTTAAAATATTCCACTGTGCTTTCCATGAAACTCTGACATTATGTTGCTGCTGCAGGAACAGGAATACTTAGTTAAGGTTATGAGAAAAAACAGGTGATTATCTGACCTTTTCGCAAGTGTACAAACAGTGAAGCACTTTCAAAGGGCAACTTGAATTTTTCAGAGGAATTTTTTTGCAAACTCACCCCACAGGCATTAAAGGCTTTCCTCGGTGTCACCTCTTTGTAGCAGAGCTGCAGAACAGGTGCAGGGCAGCAAAAGAAAACCTCAGGATCTCTGGCTGTTGCTGCCAGCAGCTTTTTTCATACCATACAGTCCCACAGCACGGTCAAGGAAGCCTCACACTCAAGCCTGGTGAAGTATTGCAGCAGAGACACTCAGTTCCAGCAGGTGGAATGTATTTCTGCAGAGCTTTTTCACTCAGTTACATCATTTTGCACAGTGTCCCAGAAGGGCAGCTTTGTATTCACAGACGCTGCACTTCAACATACGCTGCTTTCAGCAGTGCTGACTCTCAGCATTTCACACCATGACTTCATTTACACTCAGTGCATTGTACAGAATCCAAATTCCTGTCGGTTCAAGGCAGATGGAAATGCTGCCAGCCCATAAACTATATGCTAAAGACACTTGGATTTTTCACACATCCTTACTACCAGAATCTTCAGCCTGTCTTACTCAGTAGTTTACGTGAAAACTCACCAACCTGGACCCATATATATAAATGTCAAAATTTGGAAAACCTCATTAAAACTAAGGAGTTCAACACACTGTAAAAAACACAGCATTACTTTATGGAATGGGCACAAGAAATGTCTGGGTCTTATGTGTCTTATGTCTTGACATGTAACACAAGGAAAGGATGTAGAAGAGATAAATAAATTAATTTCTGTGTTCCTTAAAACAATGTGGAAAAAAAAGTAATTTTCTACAAATTAAATTCCATAAATTTAACACCACAAATCTGGAAACTCATCAAAAAGATAAAATCTGTATCTTCACCAGCACCTACTAAAAAAACCCTTAGCTTTCAGTAACTATGAAAAATTAATAAATCATTAAGTTACTGAACTATCAGTATGAAATGAAATGAAATAAAGTGGCTGAGAAGAAGAAGAAAGATCAAAATGATACAACACAAGAGGTACTGGATCTCCTGTCCCAGAAGAGGGTCATTCCTTAGTCTGTACTGGGGATCCCCTCCTAATTATTTGTCCACTGGCTGATTGGGCCCAATGACTTATTAGGATATAACCAATTTAAAATAGAAAAAATATATCAAAACACAACAGTAAAAATAATCAGTCTCATCCTGAAAAGCCTTCTCACACATTTGCTCTTGTCCCTGGGATATCATTTAACACACCCAGGTCTGTAACAAGTGCTGCTGGGGTCTGTTCATCTGCCAGTCGGGCTGCACATGTGCAAAGAAGCAAACATGAAACAGTATCCAGTGGCTCATTTCCATTTGTTAGTCATATATTGTGTCACTTGTGAGTGTGCCCTGTGGATCCTGAAGTCAATGTTCAACTGCAAATTCACCTGCTCCGAGTGTAGAACGAGCTCAAAATTGTTGAACTGTCACTTGAACTACCTCACCTCTGAGACAAAACTCTTTAGGGAAAAAAACCCCAAACCAACAAACCATAAGCAAACCACACACTAAAAAACCCAACAATCAAGACAACAGGCCAAACCAACCCCATTTTCATTTTGATTTAGAGTTCAGAAGGAAGACTGTGAGTACACTGGTACAGAAGATGACTTTTGGGGTTAAGTAAACAGAATTTAGAGTTGCCAGTGGAGGTTTGCCAAACTCTGGTCTCCAAATCAAGCCCAGAAGCATGATAAGTAGCAAACAAGTGAAAGGATATAAAAATCAGCTGATATCTAACTGGGGGCATTCAAAGATCTTGTCTTTTCTCCTTACTTTTTTGCTCTTTAGGTATTGACAGGAAAACAGCATCTTTGTTACTTAAAAGCCACCTATATTAGCTGTTTATTTCCTTTAAATCATGATCCCTATGATATCCCAACAGACCGTTCTGACATTTACTACACCCGAGAATCAAGCAGATGAACAGTTAAGAAACAAGGAACTCTACTGCAAGTCAGCTTCCTAAATAAAAAAGTCTGGTGGAGCTGAAGAAGACATGGAGGTGAAGATACATGAGACGGTGGAACTGGTCCTCCGGGAGGCACACGGGACACTGGGACAGCCGGGAGCTCGGGAGGTCCATGATGGGGGTAAGTGCAAGGGAGGGTCTGTTTTAGTATTTTAAATGTATTGTGTAAGCACTGGGTACAGATCTCACCAACTGGCAGCAAGAAAGACCTTTTACTGCAGGAGCTGAATGGCTGCTGTCACAGGTCACGTTTCTGAACCCAGCAAATGAGAATGACTGCATTTGCCAAGGTGCACTGACCCAACCCTAAAAACATAGGAAAAACGCTTCAAGCCAGACTGGCAGAGTTTCCACTACAAGTTAAAGCATGCAGAAAAAAAAAAATCTTACTTTATCTAGGATTACTGAAATTGAAATAATCCAAAGCTAGTTTGTTTTCAAAACAAGCTCGGATTTAGTTCCTGAACCTTTTGCAGTTTAAATCAAAAAGAAAACTTGTTGGATTATTTTTCTTATCACTACAGTGACATTTTCTGACACGTGTGACAAATTTTATGAAAGGAATATTAACATCAGAAATTCTATCTCAACCTAAAACTAATACTCAGAGTAGTATAAATACACCCACTCAAAAGTCAAACAAAAATCTAATAACCTAACCTATTACAATTGCCTGGGCTTCAAGTACAACAACCAGGTAACCTCAGCTGATAATTGCTGACAGGGCCTAGAAGAAAGTACACTGACTTCTTGACAGTCATTTTTAGATATTCTTAGCAAACACGACTGTCCTGTTAATCATTAAATATCCATTTATCTCTTGATACCTTTTTACTCTTTTCTGTCTCCCAAACATGTTACATTTTAACTCCTTGGGAACATTTCCCGAGTTCATCTTTTCACTTCCTGCAACCTGCACAGCATCGGGCACCAGCTTTTCAGTATTAGCACGAAGTGGTCTCATAACTCATGTGATCACTTGCTCTTGCAAAACCAGCCATTTGCCTTCCAGCCCAACGTGCCCTTGCTTGGCCTCGTTTCTTTAATTGGGATTCTCCAACGTACTTCTGTTTTACGGCCCCTGTTCCCGGGGAGAGGGCCCAGCTGAGGGGCTGTTTTGGGAACCCCAAGGATTCGAGGCACCTCGCGAACGCAAACAGTGAAAAACCTCAAGAGATTAAAGTAATTACTTTTTTATCCATTCCATAAAGGTTTAATATAGACCCTAAGAAAAACCTTTTGACAAAGATATTATCCTCTTACCTCACAAAGTCCAAAGGGAAAAAGAAAAAAACCCAAACCAAACAAAGAGCACTGCTATAAGCACTCGGGTAATGCTGCCCGAGCTGGGCTGCAGCGCCGTGACAGGGACGTGCCGGGCTGACCGGGTTAGCAGAAAACGTGAAAATAACACCAAATACGACAGCAATGACGTGGTTTGAGAAGCAATAGGCGATTCTTAACATATAAGTAATTCTCGAAATGTCAGTAATGCCATGTACCAGAAACTGATGCCCGCGACGTTTCCAGGGTCAGACCCCTCTACATACCCAGAGCCGAACCCATCTGTCGCGACAGCGGGTCCGGCCCGGCCGCAGCGCGAACACGGGGCCCCTGCGGGCCCCAGCCCGGGGTTTCGGGGCAAACCCCGGCCGGCAGCGCCGGGCCCGGGCCGGGGCCGGACACAGGCCGGGCCTGCCGGAGCACCGGAGCCACCGGGCGACCACGGGGGTCCCGCCGCGCCCCCGCCCCGCTCGTTCGGAGCCTCGCGGCGGCCCCGGCTCCCCCCGCTGCCCCCCGGCCCGGCCCGGCCCTGCTCACCGGCGGTGCGGGCCCCGCAGCCCCGCTCGAGCAGCCGCTCCGCCCGCGCCCGTCACCTGACGGCCCGGAAGCGCGGCCGGCGGAAGGGACCGGGGCCGGGGCTGGGGCCGTTCCGCCCGCCCGGCACCGCCCGCGGCTCCCCCGCACCCGGGCCCGGAGGCGCTGCCCCGGCGGCCCCTCCTGTGCGCCCCCCCGGAGCCGCACACGGGCGTTACCTGCGCTCCGGCAGAACGGCCGGGGCTGCTCGGCCCGTTCCGAGCCCCCGCCCGCGCCCCCGGGCACCCGAGCGCTGCGGCTGCCCCGGTTTGGCTGCCGGGGGAGGTGACCAAACGGCGGCCTCTGGGGAGAGCGCAAAGTTCTTACTGAATGCGGAGGGAGGGAGGGAGGGAGGGAAGGAAAAGGAAGGAGCTTTGAGGGAAACAAATTGTTCAGATGTGAACAAACAAATGTGAGCAGAGCATTAGGATTGGAGCACGGGAGCATCTCCAAGATGGGAACAGAGAGCCTGATAAAGGTATTTAGAGCTTGATAAAGGTATCTGTAGGGCTGTGAGAAAGCCCAGGGTCAGAGGGACCAAAAACAGGGAGAGGAGGTGACCTGGGGTCTGAAGGAACGGGTCAGAACTGAGAGATGCCTGAGAAGGCACCTCTGAAGGCTCTGTCCCAGCTCTGAGGACACCTCACCAGTCCTGAGGACTCCAAGGTACAAAACAGCCCAAAACTGTTTGTTTTACACAGTGGAGAGTGGGTTAATCTTAAACCAGCTGAAGATGAGCCTTATGAAGGAATAGTTAAGAAATTAAGGGGGGTTAGTGCCAAGGGAGACTATTGGAAAGAGCCCAAGGATATTGTTGGAGGCCTGTCTCACATGTGGGCTGAGACTGCACATCTCTAGTGTGAAGGGTGGAACGTACAAGCCAGGAGTGTCCAGCAGTATAAAAACACAGCTCTACTGAGCCTTCCTGCTGCTCTCAGCAGCACAGAGCCCTGGCAAAACCCATGGAAAATGGGTCTCCCAGAAGACTACCTGGAGTTGCCAAATGTGTTGATGTATCATACTGGAAAATTTCTAGTTGAGGTGAAGATGTGGTGTGTGAACATGGCAGTGGTGGTGGCATGGGGAGCATACAAGGCAGTTCCACCCTCAGGAGCAGTGTATTTGCTGTCTGTGAAAATCTCTCTAACAAAGCACTCTTCATTTTCAACCAGTCAGGAAAGCAGCAGGATTTGGTAGAGCTTCTGCATTCAAACAAAAATTTGGCATCTCAGTGTAGTAACTGATTAAGAAGAATTTAACGAGACCCCAGAGGTAGGGGCCATATCCTCCTGATGCTGGTTAAAAAAGGGATGAGCTTATGAAATTCAGATCAGCTCAGACTAGTCACTGTGTATGTCAAGAGAATTACAGCATGAAAAACGAAAAAAGGTTGATTTTGGTGTTATAATGGAAATAAGTAATGGTCTGGTAACAGTGGTAAAGTGCTGAGGATCTTATTACAGTCGCTGACTCCTTCCACATCCTTTAGTGCCAGGTATTCCCTCTTTCTCCACAAATACTAAAACGATATTGCTATCTAACTAAGGGTTTTCTAGTGTGGTTGGTGTGTTTAACACTCCTGCTCTGTGTGAGCTGTTGATGCTGAGGAACACCTAGATAGGGGAGGCTGCTCAGCCAGAGCTGGACATTGAAACCGGCCGTGTTCACCCCCAGCAATTTCCCACGCGCGGGCACCGCTGCTCCCAGCGGCACAAACCCGGCCCGGGTCTGTCCGTGGGGGTGCCCCCGCTGCCCCTCGGGGGGTCTCGGGTGGGAGGGTCTCGGCAGACGCGGGTAGACTACAGCTCCCAGCATGCCCCGCTGTTGGACTGCAGCTCCCGACATGCCCCGCTGTTGGACTGCAGCTCCCGGCATGCCCCGCTGTTGGACTGCAGCTCCCGACATGCCCCGCTGTTGGACTGCAGCTCCCGGCGTGCCGCGCGCCTGCAACATGGCGGCGCCCAGGGGCGGCTCGGGCCCGGACACCGAAACCGGCAGCAGCTCGGACTCGGACGGCGGCGGCGAGGCCGCGGCGCGGTTCCGGGAGGCCGCCTGGGACTGTGCGGCGCAAGCGGCGGCGGCTGCACCACGGGCGGAGCCGCGCGGCGGTGAGGGGCCGAGAACAGCCGCGCTCTGCTCTCCGAGTGTTCTGCTCTGCCCTTTCTCCTCTCTCCTTTTCCCCTCTCCCTCTTCTCTCCGGGTCCCTCCGCAGCGCTTCCTGCTCCGGGGGCTCCTCTGTGCCGCGGTGCCGGTGTGGGAGCCGGGCGGGGCCCTGCCCAGGTCATCCCCGGCCTCCAGCCCGGCCTGGAGCCGCTTCCTGGCAGGACTGGCCGGAGCCAAGTTTCCCTTTCCCCTCATAACTGTTTCCCCCCACCAAAGGTGGGCGAGAGTTGTCTTTCGGGCACGATTCTTTATGCTATAACATGTGGCCGAAGGGGGTTAAAGAGATCGTTAAAGAGGTCCTGGAGCAGGTCTTTTAAACGTGCTTTTGCTTCTTCCTTTTCAGGTGGCTTTAGGAAGGATCGGTTACAGCCCAAAGATCAGCCAAGCCTGAGGTATTTTTTCTCTTGGTTTCAGACTTTCATGTTTCACTGAAGAAAAAATTAATGTATGTTGTATTTGGGCTGTTTACAGTTAATACCTTGTGATAATTCTCACTGGAAGGGCCTGCTCTGCTTTGGGAATTAGCCCAACCATAATCTGAAATTATGGTTAAATCTGAAAAAGATAGTAAGTTTTTTTATAAGTACATTTGTCATTCCTCTACCAGCAGGGAAATATAGAAGTTGAAAACTTACTACTGCTGTCATTTACAGCCTTAGTTCCACTGTCAGAAACTGCCCAACTCTGTAAGTGTCCCATGAAGGAATTAGTGCAATTACATATATTACAGTCTCTTGTCTCCTGTTTGGGTGAGGGCACCAGGTGTTTCTGGCCTTGAAAGAGAATAATCCTTGTTCTTGTTCTAATGGGCGGGAGGTGAACGGCTGCCAGGAGGGTGACAACGAGCTCCACACAACTGCAGAGTTCAGAGCACACGTGGCCAAGAAACTGGGAGCAATGCTGGACAGGTATGGGCAGGCAAGGCTGAAAAGGTTTGTTCTGATGCTTTTTGTGTGCTGAACCCAGGAAATTCAACATCATCTTGTCTCCTTCATTCCTGTATTTAGTGCAAGCTTCCAATGTTCCCTGATCTAACGTTGCTGATGTGCTGTGCCCCTCTGGTAAAGATCCTGTGCAGCACTGCCTGTGACCGTTTGCCTCTGTGGTGAATGTGCTGTGGGGAGGGAAAAAAGTCGAATTTGGGTGCCTTAGCACTTTGGTCATTTAAAGGGTGGCATGGGAATCTTCCATTTGTTCTTACAGTCTAAAGCAGTGCCCGATTCAGGGTTGTGCTGGCAGTGTGCCTCTGACTGGGCTGTTCTGTGTGTAAATATGGCCCTGGAGAACTAGAATTCCTGGTGTTTAGAGCTGGCTTTAGAAAGGCTGCTTTTAAATCATTCCTGTGGCATGTGTTGCTGAGAGGAGAAGGCCTGGTCTGCCCTGAAAGCAGGGACCTGAGGCAGCCTCACTAACAAAAAAGTGTAACATCTCCCTCTAGTCTTATTTCCCAGAAATATCCAACTTGAGCTGGGTTTGCACAAACCTGAGTTCTGACTGGAGTTTTCTGTTTAGTTTTGTAACTGTCTTGAAGGACTCATCAGGACCTTCTCAGACCTCTGTGCCACAGTCTGACTCTGCAGATGATGGTGAGTTCCAGTCTCAGCCGTTGTGACTGTGTTGGTTAAGTGATGACAAGTGGGATGGATCCTGTCCATCACCAACTAATTAGTTGTACACCCAACTAATAAACATTTGCAATAAAAGATTTTTCTTAGTGCCTGTGAGGGCTGTTGCTTTGCAGCTGTGACCTTTGTGCCCCAAGTCCTCCCACACAGTCCCAAATAATTGCTGTCAAGCTCTGTAGCAATACAGTAACAGTAGTGAGGCTTCCAGGGAGATGGCTGTTGATTGCTTTCACCTCTGTTTTATATCATGCTAAAATTCCCCTTCCCATACTTCAGGTTTTCGCCTCTTCTCCTCCTCTGTCCCTGGAGACTGTGGGAAACCAGAGCCTTGCCCTGCAGCAAGGAGGAGGCGCCCAGTGAGCTCCAGGTGAGGTGTTGGCAGCTGCTTTGCTCCTCAAGGACTGTTGCATCCCACATTTCAGAGGCAGCTGGAAATCCCACGAGGGAACAGGAAGCTGAAAAGCCGGAGAAGTGTGTATTCATGACTCTGACACTGGACTAGACCAGAATTTTGTTTCTTATTTTAGTGCTGGGGGAACTAGAAATGTTTGTGGGAGATTTTCTTTCCCCTCCTTGTGTGTGTAAAGAGCATCCTGGCCTTCCATCTGGTTAAATGCAAACTGTAGGTGTGGGAGTCCCAGAGCCACTGGGTGTTTATCACGTGTTCTCATCTCAGATTACTCTGCTGGCTGAGTTTTGGGTGAATTGAAGGCAAAAGTGTAACACAACCTCCTTCCCTCTTGTTCCCTTCCCAGTGACACGGACAGTGAGCAGGAGTGGCAAAGGTTCCAGGAGGCTGCTGTGTCAGCTGCAGATATTCTGAAGCAAAGTGCTTTTCCTGCACTATCCCAGGATTCCAGCCAGGATCAGAGTCAGGGTTGTGTAGAGCACAACCAGAAAAAAAAGAAGAAGAAGAAGAAAATTAAGGGAGAGAAAAATATTCAAGAGAAAAGAATAGACCCAGTAGAGTGTGACCAAATCTGCAAAGATTTGCCTCGGTTGCTGTCTGCAAATGGACAGCAGGAGAGACAGAACAGCAATCATGGAGACAACTCAGTGCTGCCAGGAACTGTGAAGAAGAAAAAGAAGAAGAAAAAATTAGAATGATGGTTTTATTCTGCAAACAGCAGGCGGTTGTGATGGATGAAGGAAATGAAAGAAAACTTAACAACAAGAGTTGCTGCAGAGGAGGGAAAATTAATTGGCAGAGCTTCTGTTCTAAAAGCTCAGTGGCCTGAGAGACTAATTAAGTGCCTTCCTGTGCTGCTGGCACCGCTGAGGAAGGGAACATTGTTCTCCTCACACGGCAGTTGTCTGTGCTGCTGCTCGTGCAGGCCAAGCCTAAAAGGACGAAATCCTGTGCCAGACTTGTGTGACAGAGGGGTGTAATCCCAGCTGCATCCCTCCTGCTCTGTCTTCACATCATGAAACCAAATCTGGTGTCCTGGAGAAAGTACCTGATGAATTGAATTTGGTTTACATGGCAACAGGTGATCAACTCCCTTTTCTCTTTGCCTCTTGTAGGCGCCTACTAAGAATAACTCCAGCTCGTGGGAGACTCATTTACCAAAAGCACCCTTTCAGATACCAGGGCCCCCTTATTTTTTTCCTGTGATCATCATAACAATCTGTTGTTGAAACCTGCAGTGTTACTAATCCCTCTGCAGTCTGCAGCTCTCCAGGGCCCCAGCACATAAACAGTGTGCAGTGAGCTGGTTTCAGGGTTGGTATAAATGGGTCCTGCTGTTCAGTTGTGTCCATTGACATTTTTTTTTCATGTATAGTTTTTTACGGCATCTGTTGTTATTAAACTCTGTTACGCTGTTGGGCTTATTTAATTTGGTAGGTTTTGTACAACAGTGGCTTTCTTGCTGTATTTGGATTCTCCCCAGCAGAGAGAGAGATGGCTGAGGGTGGCTCTTTACTTGCTATGAAATTGCTACAGGAAGGACTTAAGCCTAATTTAAAAATTACCATGTTTGAGTTGGGTTGATTATGACTTTTGTCTCTGAAATACTTTGAGATTTGGTGGTTTTTGGTATGACTCTTAGTCTGTTTATGCTTCAGTTCCAGTCTTTCAGGAAATTACCTGTTACTAATAAATATTCTTCTTCTCTTTTAAGATTGTTGGGTTTCAGTAGATCCAACTTATTTGCCCTAATCAGGAGACCAGAAAGCCAGATTAGAAAAACCAAAAGAGTGAACTGTTGCTCTTTGAGCGTGGGAAACCTGCTGTAAGATCCTTGCTGGTTTTCAGTCAAGAAAACACAGTTGGCATCCAAAAATGGAAAAGCCAAGTAGAAAATTGGTTTGTAATCTAACTGAATGTGCCAGCACAAGTTACTTGTCTTATGGGGCAGTTAAAACTGCAGTGCACTGCAGCTTGGACCTGGGCTTTCAAATGCATAGTGGCCTAAACATTACCTTTTGATTTGATTTAAGATTATTTTTGTGCTATTTGGAAGTTATGTATATATTTACAACTGATGCACATGGGAAATTAGGAAACAATTCTAGGATAAAACTCCTAGGAGAATCTGGTGCCTGAAATTGTTGGTGGTGTCTAGAGGAAGCTCCTATCAATGAAACCTGTAATGGACATCTGCAATTTTGTAATTTCCAGATATAACTGAAAAGTTCATTGTTGGGCTTTTCCTTTTTTGATTTTCTCTTGTGTCTTAACCTTTTAAGAGTCTTGAGCATGTTCTAGTCTCAAGGTTTTTTATCCATTTCACAGTAGAAAGAGTAGCTCAGTTTCAGTCACAAAAACCTGTTAGCCAGACATGAAGAAAGCCCCAGTTAATGACATATCGGTAATGTGAGTGTTGAGAGTAAATAGAGAGGAATAATTAGAAGAGGAATTATGTGAGTGGATCCTTGGGACTAAAAACCTACACTTAGTGCAGGCAAGACTCTTAGACCCGGGGTGATTATTTGCATATCAAGAGCTACAGGATCGAGCCTACAGGGAAGCCAAGAATGAGCCACGTTCTGTAAAATGAATCCAAGCTGACATGTTTATAGAGGAAGCTGAAGGAACCTCTACTCTGTGGAGCTTGGGAACCTCCCAGGTGTTGTGCAGTGTCAGGGACCAGTGGGGAATGCCATCCTCCAAATCATTCAGCAAGTCACATGAGATAAGAATCCACAGGGTTAATGCAGAGAACTGGAATCTCCTTGCTGCTGTTAAACTTTAATTTCTGCATTTAAAACAAAGCAGAGCTATATCAAAAATAACCAAGCCATTTCCACTGGGATAGCATGATTTTAGAGCAGGTCATTTGTAACTGAGAATGTTTGGTACTTTGGTTGTTAATTAAGGATTTGTAGCTTGTAGTCAGTGATCCCACGCTGACAGGTTTGTGCCAAGCCATTCCCAAATGTGTTTCTTGGTGATTTTCTTTGCAAAGCAGGAACCAAGTTCTCTCTCTTGCCTCCAAGGTGCTGTTATTGTTATTATTGGTGCTCCTTCAGCAAAGGAGGAGAGTGTTTTAAAGATGGTGTCCCTTCTTTGGCAGCTCAGCTTTGCTCTTTCCTTCATGGTGTAGTCTGGTGTTGGCAGGTTTGTACAGGCCCAGCTTGATGAAAGCTGAGCTCAATGAAAGCCCCATCCAGGCCCTGGCACTGCTGCCATATTTCAGTCAGGTCCCTGGCTTGGTGGGATTTCCTCTTGGGCAGCCACAAAAGGATGTCTGGTCATTCTGTGGTGGCCTGTGGGGTTTGGGTTTGCTGTTTCTGGGGGGGGCAGTGGATTTTAGCAGTGCCAGTATCATCTTCCCATGGCTTCTGTCTGGAGCCTGAGACATTTGCTCTCCTGGAGGCAGCTGAGCAGGAGTCTGTGTGAGGCAGTGGGGGCTGGCTCAGCACAGCAGCCCTTCCTTCCCGTGGTGACAGAGGTGACAGTGATGGCAAACACGGTTGGAGTTGCACCTGAGTCACCCTGGGGGCAGCTGTGGTGATCACTGGGTGGAGGAGGCCATCTGTGTGGAGATGAAGGTCTCGATGACGTTGTGGGTGGATGGCAGCAGCTGGCTGTGGCTGTTGGTGGGGTCAGAGCTCTGGTACAGCACCAGGCTGCTGGAGGACACTGCCAAAGGCACAGGCACAAGGTCAGTACAGATTCCCACTGCAGGCCCCTTACCCTGTGTGTACACCCTCACATTTCCACCATGGCTGCCCTCCCCTGGCACAGGGGCTTAACTCCTTTTGTCTGTCTGTTTTGTGTGCTGTTACATAGGTCCTGAAAACACTGAGGGCAGCAGAGAGTTCAGTTTTGAGGATTCTAGCTAATCTCCTAGTTCTCTTAGAACTGGGAAGATCCAGCTGGAGTCTCTTCACAAGGGATCCTTGGACTTTTCAGCCCTGAAAACTGCCCACAGGACTGGATACTCATCGACACTGATTTTGCCAGTATTTTTAAGGTTATTTTCCTCTCTAGTTTCTGAAGGAGCCCATTCCCACAGTCTGGCCTTACACAGAAAGTACTCTGGATTTTTAACTTGTACTAGCTTTTTGACCCCTTCAGGACACTGGTATAGCCCTCTTAGGGAATTGTGAGCCCCAGTTACCATTTCCTAACTGGATTTTGCAGAGTTGGGAAGAGAAACTGGGCAATATGTGGTTTGAGACAACAGTGGCTGCTGCTCTTACCCGCAGGGCTCGAGGAGAGGCGTGGGCCTGGCTGAAGGTGCTGGATGGTGGTGTCCTGGTTCTGTAGGTGGATTGTTGGTGCCTGTGACACTGGTGTGTGCATCCCAGACTCGGTGTGAGTCTCTGAGTCAGGGGTGAATGCCTAGAGAAAAGAGAGTTAACAGTGCCTGGCTTCTTCCTCCCTTCTAACAGGCGTGAGGGAAGAGTTGAGCAGGTGCTGTTTCTAAGGACAATTAAATCCTCCTTGATGATGCAGTGAGGAGCTTTCTCTAGTGCCTCCAGTACTGCAGCTGGCACCAGTGAGGAGATAAAAAAGATGGTCCTGCTGGGATGACACAGACACCACACACCCAAAACCTCTTTGACAAGCAAGGAGCTGCCTGCAGACCGGTGCAGTTCTAAGGTGGGGAACAAAGGCATGTGCTGTTACCTGTTTAGTTGGTGTCAGGTTGGTCAGGGCGCTGAGGTTGGCTGTGTCTGTTATCACCATGGTTTGTGGTAAGAGGCCTGTGTGTGTGTACTGGGCCACTTCAGACTTGGGGCCGTAGAGAGCTGTGCAGGAAAGAAAACAAGGTCATGTGGATGCTGGAGCTTTGCATGAGGCTGGTTTGGCTGAGCTGTTCTCCTCGTGCGAGGGGACCTGCTGTCTGTCTCTGAAAGGCTGGGAGTGGAGGGACAGGGAGATGAATGCAATAGAAAAATAATTTCACAATAAGAGCAACAATAGCAGAAGAGGAAACCAGAGTGCTGCAAGCCCAGTTCCCAGCAAATGCCCTAGAACAGAGGCTTTATTTTTGTTTGCTTGAGCAAACGAGTTCGTGCTCTTACCGTGAGGGTTCTGTATCTGGGCCATGGTAGCCATGAAGGGGCTCTGGTTGATATGGCTCTGGACTTGCTGCATGAGGGGCTGCTGGTAGGAGGGGTGCAGTTGCTGGGAGAACTGGACAGGCTGCAGGGTCGTGAGGCTGCTCCCCATGCTGTTTATCACAGGTACACTCTGGGGCTGGGTTGAAGCCAGGCCTGGAAAACAAGGACTGATGACAGTGGTGTCACAGACTGTGGGAGGAGTGTGGCTGCTCTGCAGTGGGGGTGTCACACAGTCATTGTGGCAGCCCTGTGGTTGCAGGGTGATTGCAGATCCTGCTTTTCAGGAGTTTCATTAGTTATCTGTGATGAAGAATAGATTTCATGCCTGTGAAAGGGAAGTGGCAATGTGCAAAATGTGCACTGCAGAACCCCACCTCTGGTTTCCAGTGCTTGTTCCTGTCTACACCCTGTGTACCAGTGTAGCCCATTTTCCAGTTTAGTGATGACCTGACACAGAGGTCCACTGGGGAGACCTTGCTCAGAAGTAAACTCAGAGCATTATTTCAGTGCCCAGTTAATTTTACTCTTTTTTTTTTATGAAGCTCTTGGCACCAGAACTAGACTGTAGCCGTCCAGCCACATGGAGTGGAGTTTAACCTCTTTTTGCTAGGGCTGCCAAATTATGGAACTTGTGTCAGGTAGAAGGTTTCACACATTACTGCCCTTTCCCCACAACTGTTCAAACCCTATTCCTGTAAATCAACAAGTCTCTCCAGCACTCCAATTGTATGTTTTTTGTTTGCACAGAATTTGAATCCATATCATAATCTGAAGTATAAGTGGAAATGGAAATTAATTCAGAGCTGTCACCATGGAGAAAAATAAGGCCTCTTTCTTCCTAGGAAGAAAGTGTAAGAGGAGAGTATACATTTTATTTTCCAGTATCTAATGAGATGTACTTTGGCAGTAGACTAGTCTTGGAATGAAAAGAAATCTCATACAAGTCCAGAAAAGCTGTTAAAGTGAAAAATATAAAAAAATAGTAATTACTGTGGATTCCAAAGGCATATGCTGCTCTTTGCAGGAAGTGGAACAGTATGTTTTGTCTTTCAAGCACCATGAACATGCTTCAATTTTCATAGTTCTAAGGAAGTATTAAATTTATATTTGGGAAGACGAAGAGCAGCAAACCAAAACATTGGCATAGGAATAGATTGCAGAAGTCCCTTTACTCTGAAGACATAGGTTTGTGTGTAACGTAATTCTAACGTGAGGAACATCTGCCCCTTAATCCCACTGGAGCCTGCAAGTACCGAGTGCTGCTGAAGATCCTTAGTGACAGTTTCCTCTCCTGTGTCACTGCCAGCTTAGTGCCTTTGCCTCTGGAAGTGGGGCAGGTGCTTGTAGGAGTGACAGGCAGCTCTTTGTGTGACTCCTGGCAGGGCACAACTCACCGATGACCAGGGTGGAGGCTCCGGTGTTGGTGAAGGCGGGTGCCAGGGACGGGGTCTCGCCCGCCCCGATGGCCATGACGCCCGGCAGGGATGCCATGATCAGGTTCTGGGTTTGCTGGCTCAGGGCGTGTGGGCTCTGCTCCAGGCTGTGCAGGGCAGTCAGGGTGCTGACAGGAGGGAGAGTTCCTCCAGGAGCTGACACCTGTGGGAAAGGAGAACCCTAAACATGCCACCTGCAGCAGGCTGGGGAGTCCCAAGGCTGTGAGAAACATCCTCCCTTTCTTCCTGCCTGCTCTGACCCCTTGCTAACTAGGAAGGCTTCACATTTGCTTGTCTGCAGTTTCCCTGTGCTCAATTAACTAGCACAAGTCAGCTGTTGACATAATGAGAGTAAACTGAGAGTTTAGTTCTTTCACATTTAAGAAATCATGAGGATTTTTCAAACAGGAATGAGGTTAGGCCTGGTGCATTCTTTTTAGAGAAAGAATATCTTTCACAGCTGAGGGTAGAAGGTGATGCTCAGAGAAATTAAGAGGCTTGGGTACACAGTAGTTCTAGCTGCAGAGTTCAGCACAGAATGCAGGAGTTCCTCTTCTCTTGTTCACCTTTTCCCCCGAGAAATGGCTGTAATTTCCCTTTCTCCCTGCAAGTGTCTGTTAGTGGCCAGTGATTACGATTTTAAAGGACTTTCTGATAAGTCCCGTTAGACTATTTTTGTCACACAGTGTATTTTTCAGGCTGTGTTACCTGGCAGTTCCCTGCTGTTAGAGAGGAGAAGTACCTGTTAGATAGAACAGGACTGTTCTGTGTTTGTGTGTCTTGCTGATTCAGTCTGTCTTTGAGAAATTTAATAACTTGACTGTTTTCTCAGCCTCTAAAATGAACCACATAACCTGTGTCTTTGCTCCAGCGGGGTTTTGAGTTTGCAAGGCCCTTTAGAGACCTGTAATCAAAGTACTGTGGAAGAGCAAAAAAGCATTCTAATAATTTGGCTGATAGAGAAAGTTCAATGCTTTATATTATACTTTTTTTTCTCTCCCCTCAGACAAAAAGCTGTAAGGAACCTTTAGTAAGAATAAACACCACGAGGTTAAACAGTGGGACAAACCACCTTGATATCAGTTTTAGAAGACAGATGTAGAAGATTTCCAGGACCTCATAAAAGACTTATTTTTTTCAGCAAGAGACCAGAAGGCAGCAAAGTGAGTGACTGATGGGATTTAAATCATACTCATCTTTAGTGACCTTTACTTTGCCTCAGGCCAACTTACACTAATGCAAACTTCTGCCAGCTGTTTCTCTGTAAGCAAGGGAACATGTGCAATCTGAAATGATCAGTCATGTAGTTCTAGTGCTTCACTGCTGATTATGTGGGAAAAGGTGTAATCAGACCTCAAAAGGAAATTGGCTTTGAGAAGGTGGATTGCTGCAATCTACATATCCAGTGCTGTCTGCATACAGGCTGTTGGGCTTAATTTTTACAGGTAAGGTAGATGTAGGTGTGGTTCTGTGTTCTGTTAATCCCACTGGTCTGATCAACTATCTTGAGATGTGTTGAGTTCAGATGAGAGTTGGAGATGAGGTGAGAATCTCACTGTGGAAAGGAGGAGAGAACAGGGTTTTCTGGGAAGAAATGTCATACCTTGAGTGCTGTGTTTTCAGAATAGGCTGTTTTGATTGCTCATAAAGGAAACGGCTTCTTGCTTTCATGCTCTAATTCCTGCCCTCACTGCAGTTAAGAGGGCACTTGTGTCTCAGGACTGTTGATCTCATGTGGTCAGTGCAAAGTGACTTTGTAGTATCTCTACAAAAAGGTGGGTTTAAGAACATCCTGGGAAAAACTACTTCTGAATAGTCCACATGGTGACCAGTCAGCAGAGCTGATGTCCTCCAGTCAGCAGAACTGAAGCATCCATCACTTACCAGCTTAGTGTCTGTGCTCAGTAGGTTCTGACTGGGCTCCAGTCCCGGGGGAGAAACCTGGTGCAGGATGGTTTGGGTGGTCACCATGGAGCTGTTCCCGTGGGGGTTGCTGCTGGAGGACTCTGCCTCGCTGGCTGGCTGCTGGTTGTACCTCACTCCTGCATCACAACAGGAGGGAAACTGGTTGTCAAAAATGAGAAACTGAGAAACTTTGGCAGGTCCTAAATTGAGTTTCCTTTGCAGGCACTTGCCTCCAGATGTTTGGGCAGGGACTTAATGGGTAGTAGGGGAACCAGAAGAACAGGCCTTCTCACACCCTACCCTGGCTTTCCTCTGTAACTTGGTGCAGCTGCTTCTTCAAATACTGACTGGCTGTGAGTGCTGCAGGGAGCAAGCAGGGTTCACTGGAAACCACCCTGCTGGATGTGGTTGTAAAGAGGAGAGTTGTGGTGAGATCATCTCTTCCCAGAGCAAGAGCAACTCCCAGCTCTGGCCTGTGAAGCTGAAAAAGCTCTGCTCTTTTTGGATGGAGAACGACCTTTCCTGATCCTAAAAAATTTGATGGGGCTGGTATTGGAAGGAGAAAGGGGCACACAAGTGAAAGGATATGGAGCTGATTTCTGACAGCAGGCAGGGATGACTCCTCCAAAGGGGATTGCTGCCTGCCATCTGGGAGGGAGAGCAGGATGTCACAGTGAGTGACAGCTTTGGCTGTGAGCTTTGTTACTGAACTTTGTCACCCTTGCCATTCTAGCCACTCTCCTCACTCACAGACATGGGCTCTTTGCCACCTGTGCTCTTCCCTTGTAGCAAGTCTGCTTTTTCTGTCTGTAGATTCACCTCCTAAAGGGGTGGATGTGGGAGACAGTTTTGGTGACTGACTTTGGGGAGGTTCACCCCCTCTTTCAGATCTCCCTCTGGTTGCTTCTTACCGTGAACTTTGGTGGGTGAGAGAGCAGCTGGTGGCTGGAGGGAAGAGGAGTTGTGAGGAGTGAGGGGGGGGCCAGAGGTGGGTTGGGGTCCACTGAAGGTGTCCATGGCCAACTTGTGCCGGAAAGCCTCCTCCTTCCTGCGGTTGGCAAACCAGTTGTAAACTCTGACCTCTGTCACCAGGTTCGAGCCCAGTCCCTGGGCCTGAGATGGGGAAACACCCCTCTGGATACACTCTGCCCTGTTGGGGGAAAGCACAAGGACAGCCTTGCTGAGCTGGGCTTAGCTGGAGACACAGAGTAAGTGCACAGCCCCAGAGGGGCTGGGGTCTGGCACACTGTGCTGTGTGATCCTGATGCAGCAAGACAGGAGGTGTTCCTTGTCCTCTGTGCGCAGGGAATGCTCAGTTGTGGCATTTCACTCCGAGGTGGCTGGTGTCAGTGGTGACACCCACTGCTGTGCCCTTGCCCTGCCTCTCACCAGGACACAGAGGGGCCCTGCTGTGCCCCCTTCTTCAAAGCCACACAGCCACCCTTACCTGTTGCACTCTTCCACCAGGGCCTCCCTCTCCTCTTTGCTGGGGTTTTTCTGCCTTTCATAGGCTTGGAACAGGATCTGTTGGGAGGCAGGACCCCACTTGAAGCGGTTTCTTCTTCCCTTCTTGGTGGGCAGGTCATCTCCCATGGGCTCCTCTGTCAGGATACCCTGGCCAGCGTGTGTGAATTCTGCAGGCACAAAAGAGCAAGGGTGTTGGCTTTTTGGAAGCATTTCCAATAGTTCTGTCTATTTGGGTGCCTAGCAGGCCCAATGCAGCTTACCCTTGGAGAATATCTTGTACAAGACAGAGGGTTGAATCTAAATAAAGTGGAAATAAAATGCCATAATCTGCTAAAACTGATGTTTCTAGCAGGACCATCTTTACTTGATGGTTCTCTCACGTGCATTGCATCTCTGCTCCCACCTTGGAGTAGTGAAAGCAAATTCAGCTGAGTTTAGAGAAGTCATAGAATCATAGAATGATTTAGGTTGGAAAAGACCTTTAGGATCATCGAGTCCAATCATTAACCCAGCACTGCCAAATCCACCGCTAAGCCAAGGCCCCAAGTGCCACATCTGCATGTCTTCTAAATCTCTCCAGGGATGGTGACCCTACCACTTCCCTGGGCAGGCTGTGCCAGTGCTTAATAATCCTTTTGGTGAAGAATTTTTTCCCAATATCCCATCTGAACCTCCCCTGGTGCAACTTGAGGCTGTTTCCTCTCGGGCAGGAATTCTGTCTCTGTCATCTGCCCACTACCCTGCTTTAGTCTGAGGATGGATGTAGAACTCTAACTGCAAGCAGGGAGCATTAGGTGACTGCTCCTTAGCCAGCCAGGGGGGGAGGTGGGTCACTGCTGTATGAGGGGAGCGATTTCCCATGTCCTGTTTCGTTCACCTCGCCACTGAATACTGACCTAGACTTCTCTAAGCTACCTGCTAAAAGTGGCTTTTGCTTCCATTTTTCTTTGAAAAGAACAGGGAGTTAGGGTGATCCAGGGAGAGCAGAGGCCTTTATGAGGTGGAGAGAAGAGAACAGTTGGTGCCATACTTACGCTGGGCCACCTCCCGCTGCTTCCGGACGTACCAGGTGTACAGGGCTGCCCGTTTTTGGGTCTTCATGGGAGTGCCCTTGTTGAGGTGCTGTGAGAGGTGGGACTGGTTCAGACCAGTCGTGTCCACCACCTCACGCTGAGGGATGTTGTGCTGCTGGAGGTAGGATTTCACCATCTTTGCTACTCGCCAGGGATCCTCTCTGCAAGGAGCAGAAAACACTTCTCAGGGGAGAGAGATCAAACACCTGCTCTCAGCAGACCTGGATTCCAAGGAAGTGCACTGGTACCTCCTGAGGGGCACCTTGCCTGTCATCACCAGCACGTTTGGTGAGGCCAGAGTGTTCACTGGCTGCAGGAGGGAAAGCTCAGTTCCTCAGTGGGGTGCCTCATTCAGTTTGAACTCTGCATTCAGGGTAAGAACTGCAGGGCACTGGAAATAAAGTGCAGAAGATGTAGCACTGGCTTCCTTTGAACTGCTCTTTGTAGGTACTTTGATCTCCCCTTAGGAGGAGGCTCTTCAGTTACCAAGGGATTTTCCCAGTACATGGCCACGATCTTTGCTGTCTGGGCTCATTTTCATGCACGGTTTTGGGCTGTTCTCTCTAGGCAATTGTCATCTGTGATGACAGAAAGTGCTGACCAGTGATGTGAGCAAGGAATGGACCTTTCTGCTGGCAAGTACTGTGGATTTAAAGCACTTCTTCTGCTAATGAGGAATGGTATGAGGAGGGAAGTGATGTTACATTTCAGTATTCAGATAGATGTTCTGTGACTACAGATCTCTTTGCAGAGGCAACCTTTCTCTTCCCTTTCCCTACAGAACTTTTCTTCTCTATCCCCCTCTCTTTAAGGCATAGATGCTTGGGGTGGATGTACTAAATCTTCTAAGACAGATTGATTGTGATATTAGGCTGAACCCAGTTCATGCCCTAGTTCTGGTCCAGGTTGGGTTGCCTTGCAATAATTCAGGAAATGGAAGCAGGCTGTCATTATCCTGTGATGTGACAGCTCTGTATGCATATGTATGTGACAAGTCATCCAGGATTATATTCTTACACATCTGCTATGTGTTATTCAAACACAGTGATTCACACCTAGAGCCACTTGGAGCTTCTAAATGCAATAAAGAACAACAGGCAAACCACCAATTCCTCCTATTGCCACCCTCCTTTGGAGTAACAGCTGAGGGAATAGACCTGCTTCAGACCTGCACACAAAACTTGAGAAGCTAACCTGATTTGGGATTTTACAATTAATGTGAATCTCTGGGTTTTATGACCTCCAATTAATTAATTAGAACATCCGTGGAGGTTCCTAAGGAAAACAGAGAAAACATGACTGTGACTTCGTTGTGTGTATTAATTTCACCAGAGCTGAAAGTCACAGTAGCAATAAAGATGTGAAAGCAGGCAGTGTGAGTCCAAACAGTGCAGGAGCCTCCCTGCAGAAAAGCCCCTGGCTCACTTCAACAAGAGCATCTTTCTGTGCCTTCTGTGTGAAAGGTCTGGAGGAACTGGTTTGCTTGCTGTGGAAAGACAGTGGTGTCACATTCAACACCAGCATCAAAGGAGCAGTGGGGAGAAAAAAGGTACCTAGGATCGTGCAGAAACTGTCACAAGAACACATGTCTGAGCAACAGGCACCAACTGTGCTGCTCATTGCTCTGTTGACTCAGGAGGTTGCCGGAGGCTGCAAAGTGATAAGGAGGACAAAGTCCACACCTGTTCTCTCAGTACAAACAGCCTTATCTCTCTTCTCCTGCAGCCTCCCAATGGCTGATAGTCCAAGGAGCAGCTCCACAGCAGTTAAAGTATGACAAAAACAGTGCCAGGTACAGCTTTCTGAAGAACCTGCTTAAAATAGAACATTTGTTTCTCTTTTACTATGGAACACTTGCCATAGAGGCTTCTGTTTTTCAGCTTCTTCCCTTAACCATCTTTGTCTTTCAAAAGCCTCACATTTGGCTGAAGTTATGAAAGCTTTTCTTTCCTCAGTGTGTTTTCTTTTTCACTTCTGCTGCCTAAATCAATCTCTTCCCTCTGTGATAATCTAGCCAGCACCTGCACCCTGCACTCCTTGTATAAGTCCCTATATAGAGGAGAAAAGACTCTGACTGGGAACCTGGTCTCTTAGATTTGAGTTCTGGCTTGGCTGGGAAGAGGAAAGACTGTGTTGCCACTGATGGAAGCCTCTGTTACATGTTGGTTCCTTTCTGCACCCCAATCATGAGACACTTTTGTCTCCCCTTTGAGATCCTCACTTCTCTGTGGTAGGAATAAAGCAGGAAGCATCTGTGAGTCTCTTCTCTCAGTGGTTAAAGCCCTGTGGTTTTTGTCTACTTTTGGACAAAGCAGGGAGCTTTGTGAGGCAAAGCAGTGCAGGGAATCTTAGAACAGTGTGATTTCCTGGGACAGTTGTATGAAATCCTGGCTACTCTGTATCATCACAGTCTGTGATGTCAGGGCAGCAATCCTTCAGGCCAAGGCTACACCAGAGTACAAGTGATGACAGTCTGGTCAGCTGAACCCCCTTGTGAACCATTGCCCAAATACACAATTCCACCTGCAGAGCCTCCACCATTGGCTAAGACATCATAAGTTGAAACCTTTGCTCTTTCACTGGCCATAAGATTGTCATGGACTGTCAGAGGGAAGGATTTCACTCTAAACCTGGTTCTCCTGCTTGTAGTTACACTAAACTCTCAATTGCTTCTGTGAGTCAGAACTGCAGAAATGGGTCTGCCTTACTTAAGCTCTCCTTCCCTATGTCCAAGCCTGTTTTCTGCCTTTTAGCTTCCCTTTCTCCCCAGATGCAGTCTCCCCATTCATCTCTTGTTCTCCAGGGTCTAATCTCTGTCTCCAAATTCTTCTCACGCAGTTACTTTTGACTTCTCCTGAGGTCTTGCTCTCCTGCTCTCAGTTGCTTGTTGCCATCTGAGCACAGCCCCTCTCCATGATTCATCCCCACCACAGGGGCCTGGGTCCTCTCTCCATGTCAGCTTCCCATTTTCTTACTTCTGAGGTCACTTTTTAAGGGCGTTTTCACCTCCCTTTTGTTACCTGAACAATAAGTAACCCAGGTAGTTAGTTATAAACTCAAAGGGAACAAGAGGCTGGTTGATAATTTATAGCAACATCTCAAATTTAAATGGAAAGTAAATATCAAGTTGTTAGCATTAAAGAAAACCCATTCCAGAGAGCTGGAGATGTAACATTCAGGGGACCTTCTCCCTCCTTCGCTCTTCCTGACTTTTTCTTTCTCCTTTGTTCCTTTCTTTCCCCTCCTTTTCCTCATTCTCTCTGTCTCTCCTTCTTTCCTGTTCTCAGATTCTCAGGTGGGTTCTGAATTGCTGCCTTGGACCAGACCCTGCTCAAACAGAGGTTCAGAGCTGTGAAGTGCTTAGGACCATCCTCTGGCCCTTTCCTCAGGAGCTGCAAGCCCTGCACAGCCTGGAGCCGGGCTGGGCACAGAGGGAAGGTAAGACCATCCATCCCAGCAGTTCCTTTCTGTTGAACTTGGCCTGGTTTGCCTCATCTTGGTTTATATGTGGAAATGAAAGGGGTGTGGCAGCTTCATCTCCAGATTCCCCAGCTAGAGCCATTCTAAGGTGGGAGGAAGACTGAACCTTTATCATTATATGTCTTTGTTTTCTTTTTTCCTCCTGGAAAAACACACTTTTACCCCTGCCTCCAGGGGCAATCTATAGCTTATCTCAATTTCTTTCTTTCCTAATGGAATTTCACCCCTTGCCCTACAGGTGGATTGTTGCTGTTCCTGTCTCCATTTGCTTTACCTGCAGTTGTATGATCTGTCCCTTCCCCCAAGGTAGCCTCTCTCTTGCTTTCTGCTCTGGGAATACCTGGGAGTTTCTCCACACAGCTCAAACTCCCTACTGAGTCATTTATTTCTTATCACAGATGCAATTAGTTTTCTGTGTGGATTGATATGAGAAGAATGTTTTTATTCAAACTGTAAATTTGCAGAAGATCAGTGAAACATATGAAGGGACAAAATGAAAATATGTTAATTCACCTGTTAATATCTGAACTGCCTTTAGCATGTTTTGTCTGTGGGAGCAAGATCTAATCAATACCCATAGGTGCACCCAGTGTACCAGGGTGTATCTTCTCTACATCCTGTTTTACTCAGCTTTGACTAGAGCTTTCCAAACTGTGCTTTCAACGTCAGTGGTCCTGCGAGGACATACTTAGTCTCTTGGCACTGTCATTTTTTCCCTTTCCAATTTCTGGAAAGCCTAACAATGGCCACTTTCCTGATTCTACCTTATAAGCAATGGCTGAAGTTACCACAAATAATTTCTTGTATCAGCAATAGCTGCCACAAGTCAGTCTCTCTTAAAATCTGGCCTACAGTACTAGGCCAGGAATTAATAATGCCCAAAGAGGCTTCTGCCTAAAAGCAGAAGTGCCTCCATCAGTTTTTTGTATTTGAAATCCTTGTGTAGATGCTGAAATAGCTTTGCAAGCATTGACCTTTTATTGGGATTCCCTGGGCATGGAGATTCTTGCCTTCTTCTCTTTTATCTATTGATGGGACTAATTTCTATTATAGACTGTTCTGCCCTGCCTTAAGGTTCTTTAACACTATTTTAAGGACATTACTTTTAGGCATCTTAAAACCAAAAAAAGTTTATTTGTAAGTAACAATTTCTTAGATATTCTCACCCCCTGATACTGGTTCAGCTGCTTGAATGAGTTCTCAGACACGATGTCACTTTGATGAGAAATTTGAAACATGTCAATGCAGACTTACTGCTGTTTTTACTTCACCTTGATTAATTTAGACCTATTATATTCCTCCATAAGTATACTCCATAATTTTTTGCTGACACTGAGGCTTCTGGTGCCTTCATACTGCCCTTAACAGCAGAAGGGAATTGCTCTATCCTGTGATGGGGGGACTGATGACAGACAACTCAGATGTTTCAGGGTAAAGCTTTTGGAATTAAGACCCAGTGTGAGGCTTAGGAGATCCCTGTCCTTGCTCAGTCCTCTGCATGCTGTCTCAGGGGTTTAGGTAGGTCCTAGAATTTGTCTGTACCTGTGTTCCCATTTTTGAAATGGGAATGCTGCTCAATGGACTGTCTGGAGGCAGCTGTGAGACTGTTCATCAGAAAGAATTAATAATTAATATCACAGGGTTGCAAGAGAGGTAAGACTTGTGGTGAGGCTGAAAGTAAGCACAGGACACACTGGCAGCAAGATCCTAGAAAGGCAGGGAGGATTAGAAGCCAGAACTGGTGCTGAAGTGAGGGTGGCAGGAAGGGATTCCCTCCATCCCTGTGTCTGTTCTCGGATCACAGCAGATGGCACTTCAGTCCTGCTTCACCCATTCCCTACAGGAAAAGGGACAAAGCCTGGGGGGCTTCTGCAGCTTCCATGGCTTCCTTTGTGGAGAGATACTTGATAAACCATCAGAAGTTAATGATCAAAAAGCTTATCAGGGTCTTTTCATCTATAAATTTATAAGACAAAAGAGAAATAATAAAGCCATTGGATAATTAGTAACTAGCCAGGGCCCGCCCGGTGCCACTGGGCTCAAACTACCCCAAGACCTGTACGCAGACTCGGGAAGATGAGAAGGAGACAAGGATGAAGGGAAGAAAAGAGTGGGAGGCAGAGAGAGAATCAGCCAAGGAGACAACAAAATGGGAGGAACAGCAGCAGAGACAAAAGTGAGGAGAGAAGGGAAATAGGTAAGAAGGGTTTGAAAGAGATAAAGGGAACAGAGGAGACTAAAAGATGGGACAGAGCTGGAAGTGGGAAAGAAATGAGAGACATACTGGGCCAGAAAGAAGACTGAATTATTGGGAATGCTTTCCCCACCCAGGTAAGAGCTGACCCAGTGAATTTTCCCCTCTTGGGTACTGCGGAGTCATCAACTCCCAGTCTGCCAGGAAGGGTTTTTTAAGGTATTTACAGCAAATGCTGCCTCTTGTCATGTTGTTTTTCTAGCTCTGGCCTTTCCTGGTGGGATTTGATGTTTTCTTATGCTGTTACATTTTCTGTTGATTTCCTCTGCACGTGAAAGAGAGTGATCAGAAAGCCTGAGAAATTCTCTAGATGGATTTTCAGTGAAGATTTTAAGTGTAGGATGTTGCTGCATCTCTTTGTTTATTATCACCTTGTCATTTCAAAATACCCCCAAAACTGGCAAGAATCTGCTGTGATAGATGGTAGGATGGACCTGATCCTTGCTTGGACAACCCTCTTGGGTCACCCATAGGAATTGTAATCTCAGTGAGAATCCCAAATGGGAAACCTGGAGAATGTTTGAGTCTATTGTGAGGCTTATTGGTTCAGAGAACTTTTTCTGTCATTTGATCTCAAAAATGCTTTTTGCAAAGGCAGATTTGTGTGGCAGTGAAAGCTGTAGTTGTTGCTGTGTATGTCCTTTGTGTCTGTGACAGGCAGTGGATGGTAGAAGCAGAGTGTTCTGTCCAGATTTTAACCTTTGCATGTATTTGGTGTGTGCTCTTTTTACAAGAAAAATCCCCACTGAAGTCAGGGAACTTTGCACTCAGAACGAGTTCTCTTGCTTTGTCTTTGCCCAGTATTCTACATCAAACCCCAGTGAAATCAACAGTATTAATCTCCTGAAATACAGCAGGGAAACATTACAAATTCACCTTGCTGTACATCCTCAGGCAAATGTGGCACCAGCTCAGAGTGACCGAATTTGTTTTTTTTTCCTGATGACTGAAATTGTGAATCCTATTAAAAAAATTAAATTCTAAACCCTGACATTCAGTCAGAGAGATGCAGGTTTTACAGGCCTTGGACTATACTGGAGCCTGATGCTTTAAGCATGTTGTATCAATCTCCATGGCTTCCTTCATGCATTTAAGTGAGATGAAAGGAAAATTCGAGCATTTATAAAGAATCTGGGGGTGTTAGGGGGCTGCTAGTCCTGCCATGGATGAAGGCTGTCTCTGTGCAGGTAGATCAACTTTGAATACTAGGGAACTGAGCAAAAGGGGAAAGGGGAAGAGATTTAGAGGGAGAACGCAAGAAAACAGCAAAGAGGAGCAGTAAATCTGTCCTTACTGTAATAGTCTTTCCACCACAGCCTTCTGGTGAGCAGCCTCCTCAGGGCTCAAGTTTTCCAGCTCCTTCATTATTGGAGGGGTAAATTCCTCCCCGTCATCGGAGGTTTCATCTTCCGATAACCTGGACTCCCCGATGCCGTTGGGGAGGTTGGGGATGTCGGGACAGGGCTCCCCTTTCTCTGTCTGCAGGGCATTGATGGCGCGCTGACTTTCACTCTGGAGCCCGTAGGGTTCCACCTCGCTCAGAGCCTTGATCAGGGTCTCCTTGGTCAGCCCCGACTCCAGCAGTGCTCCCAGCAGCTCCACTTGGAGATGACTCAGCTTCGACACCATGGTCTTCAGCCTGGTGCCTCTTGGATTTTGGGTTATCCTGCTTCCAGCTTCCCTACACCATGTTCCTGAGGTAACACGCCCGACTGTCAGGAGAGTGGGCACAGCGCAGCCTCCCGCCTTTGCGCCCCCCCAAAAAAAACAAAATACAAAATTGAGCCACTTCAGACCCCCCACGACTGTCCTGAGCCAGTGCTGATAAAGGGACCCTTGGCTATCTGTTTACATTGGAGCAATGTAAATTCTCCAAGGTTCATATTTATCTGTGTGCTTAGCAAGTTACTGAACTTTGGACTTCAGCACCCGCCGCAGCAGTTCACAAAGTGCAGAGGGAGAGAAAGCAGGGGGAGGGGGAAAGGGAGGGAAGCAGGCGAGGAAAATGAAGGATAGGAGGTCTGCAGCATGGAAAAGTGAGCTATGGAAAGAAAACCAGGAAGATGGAGAGGCATGGCTTTCTTCTGGCCCCAATAGTTTTGGAGAAGGAAGAAGGTGGAGTGCCCAGAAGGAAGAGCCGCGTTGGGCTGCGCGTGGTTCAGGAGAAGGTGCTGCTGTTGGAATATCGCAGAGCCCTCTCGGAGCTCTGGCAGTGGTGAAGTTCAGCCCTTTGGGCTGAGAGAAAGCCACACTGGCAGCTTCCCTGGCCTTTGTGCCACCCCCAGCAGAGAAGTGTGACCATGGGGTCTATGTGAACGTTCCCAAGACTCGCAGGACGTTCTGGAGCTCCAGCTGAATTCTGTGGCAGAGCATCGAGTCTTAAGTGACTTTTTCACTCTGGTTTTGGCTTGCTGGGTATCTTGATATGCAAACACTAGTACCTTCATTTTAACTTGCTATGTTTATTGCTTAATTGATGAGCAAGAAGAGTGTTCCCACATAATTTGGGGGATTGCAGGCCTTGCCCCTCTGAGCCCATGATTGAAGGATGTGATAAGGAATAGCCCTGGGTGTTGGTTCATTCTCAAAATCCCTGTCCTATCATCAACTGCCCTCTGCTTCCGATGAGTGCTCTGGGCAGGCTTGTGGTTCCCATTTATCATCTTCCTCCATCCCCTCTTGATACCAGTCCTGCTCTGAGGTTCTGCTCCCACCTATTGGGTGACTTCCTAAAACACGATCCCTGGCTCAGCTGGAGTCACTTAATGCAGTTCTCCAGTTCTGCAGCTCTCTTCTTATGACTACATTGTCTTTTCTGGTCTGAAATGATATGAATGAATCTATCTACTTTGAGTGGCTAAATTGGGGAATAACTTGGTGTGCACACGTGGCCTCGATGCACGAGTGTCTCATGCGAGTGATTCCTTGGAGGATTTAAAGGTGTTGTCTCAATGGAGGCTTCCCGGGGGCAGCTGCCTGTGTCTACACACTCCCATCAAACCTAAGCTTACAGGAGCCTGGTACAGCTGTCCCCAAACTGGGTAATGGCCCAAGACAATGCCACAGAGGACCTTGTCCCCTGTTTTCCCTTTGTGGGCACCGTCACCCGTGCTTTCCAGGCTCCTGAGTCAGCAGGAGCAGGACAGGACCCTCCTCCCTCCAGGCACAGCCCGCTGGGGTGGGACTGGTGTAACTGTTGGCTTTTATTTCAGGCATGGTCTGCACCCAGAGCACCACGTGGCCTCCCTGCAGGGCCTTAACAAAGCTCAGATGGACACAGAAGACTTTCTTTGCGTGGCTAAAAAGAAGTAACAGTTCGGAGTCCACGTAAAAACATGTAATGTAAGAAATTTTCACATGAGCATTAATGTAAAAAGACATGTTTAGCTTCTAAATGTTTTATTTTTGGTCACGTTCTCAATAGAGAAGAAATGAATGGTGAGCTTGGCACTGTCCTATCAATGTTTTGACACATTTCCATGCATTTCATTTGTTATCACGTTTTCCTTTATTCCTCCCCCCTGTCCCTGCTAGACATGCCAACAATTACTGGCTGATAACTGTAATTGTCAATTCTAATTACCGTGTCCTACCGTGACATTATAGTTTCTGCATGATCTGTCCTTATAATTCAAGGACTTTGCAAACAGAGACAACAGATTGTGGAGCTCTTGCAATATGTGACAGAGGAGACACTGTCACACTGTGTTACTTATTTCTGCCTCTCTTTGGCATGGTGATTTCTTTTACCTAAACTAAGATGGGAAAATATTAGCAGTGTTCTGTTTAAAAGATTGCCCAATCTATATTCTGTAAGTATATAAACCTGTTGAATGCTGGAGGGGAAATGGGGACACAGACCATTAAGTTTAAACAAAGAACAGCAATATTTGTCAGTGGAAGTTGTAAAGAGAAGAAAGCACAGCAACAAATTATCTGTCTATATTGTGTGGTTTCAAGGATTCCTTATACACACAGAAGTCCTGATGCTGCTGCTTCTGCTTGCCTTGGAGACCTTCAGCTGCAGAGGCTTTTTTTTGAAACCAGTGAACTTTGAAGTCTATAAACCCAGAAGTGAACATCTGTTTTTATGCTGGGACCTCACTGAACGCTACAACTGGATGCCACGTGGAGAACTGAATATGGAAACGTTTTAAATACTAAGGAGGAGGTAAATATTCTCTGTCACCTTATCCTGAAGGGCTTTTTCCCTTGGTCTGTTAGAATTGTCCATTTTAAACTGCAGGACCCTGGGGAATTAGCAAAAGAACCAGCAAACTTACCCACTTTGATCTTGCCATTGACTGGGACCTGCCAGGCTGTGCCACTGAATGGTTCAGCACTCCTTTAAGTATTTCAGATTCTTCAGTGCAGGAAAACCAGTGAGCTTTTCAGTGTTTCTTAAATGTTACAGATTTAAGGAATGGAGGGGATTCCTGCTGCAAAATAGCCAGTATCCCTATTTTACACCCTGGCACTGAGGATTGCAACATCCTATTTCCCAGTGCTGTGATGTGCAGTTGTGAGGTGATGAGAACAGTAGAGGCCAAGGGTGGAAGCTGCAGAGCTTTTACCAGTTAGATTCTAGTTCTAGTAGTAGAGCAAGAGCTCAGCTGCAGAGTCTGGCCATAATCCAATGTTCTCCTGTAACTGAATTGCGCTCAAGGGTTGTGCCTTGAGAATGAATATTTGAAATAAGGGGTCTCGGGTTTGCTAACCCATCTTCATCTGTTACCAGTGCTTAGGATATGTTGATTTCCTGAATTGTAGCAATTTTCCAGGCCATGGCTTGATCCTCAGGTCACTCTGATTAAAGTGATCTTGGTAATGTGCAAGTGGAGACTTTTAAAATTCAGAGACACCGAGTGAGACCTGCTTGTTTTCCTCATGTTTGCAGTATTTGGTTCTGTATTTTTTCCCCTGCAGAATGTTTTTCCTTAGGTGTAATTAATCTGGTGGTTGAGACCCCTCAAATTCAGTGTTTCTTGACAAGACATAAGCAGCTTTACAGCACTAATCTGGTCAGTTTAATAGCAAGCTCACAAACAATGTTACATTAACAAATCAGTTTGGATGCAGATTGGAAAAATATATCAGTAATCACAAGAAGTCTGATTTCTATTTTATTTTAATGGCAAGTTTAATAAAGATTATTTAAACATGTTCAACACTTTGTTTTCTCCTACTACACTTGAATATAACTCCAATGCATTTTTAAAAAATTATTTTCTTCTCCTGAAGTAGCAGACAGTGTGAAAATACAGCGACAGCTATTTTACAAAACTAGCTTCCCAGCATTCTCCAATATCCTTCTAGGCAAGGATGTCATGAGCTCCTCTAATGAAATTCTATTTTATTGGTAAATAATAGTCTGCCTTGATTAAGTGTTCCAAATTAATCCCTTCTGCTTTACATGTAATATTGAATTACTAATTAAATAGATTACTTACTAACACTGAAAACAACTGCATGAAAGTATAATGGATACACAATAGGAACATTACTCTTATATTTTACTCTTACTGGTCTGTATTCTGCTTATTGCACTTGGGCAAAGCCCCAGTAAGGGACAGGAGAGTGCTGTGAACAGCATGGAAGGCAGAACAGGCTCCCAGTGCCTGGCTTCTTGTATCAACACCATTTTTACCTCAGTTTTAATTTACTGAATAATATCTACTATTAAGTGTACATGATGAAAAATACAGTTATTTGCTGGGATAAAGCCAGTGTAATGTGGCTTCAAGGAGAATACAGAGAAGGGAAAAAACCTAAATGTATTTATGATAGAAGTGCTTCCAGAGGGAGCCTGTGTAGTTCCCTGAATAGGGTGGTAAAATTGCCATTGGCAAAAGAAACACAGAGAAACGGTTCTATTAATAATTCTTTACCATTTTAATGTTCTTCCTGCTGAGACTGCTAAATGCTTTACTGGCCTGAATGACATTAACATAATCCCCTCCTTGAAATGTGAGAGCTATTATGATAATGTTCACCCTCGGTTCTGTTATTGGGGGGAAGAAAGCTACACAAGTACCAAAACCGGTGATTATTTGTGCTTTGGGAGCTCAGTCCCAACAGGCAAACAGGAGTGTGAAAAATCTGAGATAATTGTCATTTATATGTTGTTTTCGTGGGGTTGGATTTCAGCGATTTGTGCAAACCCCGAGTGTCCCAGCAGGGAAGGACTCGCTCAAATACACGGTTTTAATGTTTCAAGTATATACCCTTTTACGTTCCAATTTAGTAGTTTTTGTTGTAAGTATGCGATTGTGATTGAAAAATGTGATTTTACACAGAAGGAAGCTGGGTTTTTTCATTGGTGCCTCCTTCCATACTTTTAATAGTGCAACCAAAGCTTCCAGAGCCAAGAAGGTGCAAGGCTACCTTTTGACTGAGACACTGGAGGAACTCCCCGGGTTTCTGCTTGCCACTGTTTGCAGGTTTCAGTTGCATTTAGAAGGACAAATATTTTACTCTTTACATTTGTTAAACTTTGGGAGTCTCACTGAAACTAAGGAAGGTGTAACAACCATTAGGAACTGGGCTGGACGCAGAGCTTGGAGTCATAGTGAGATAATGGGTTTAAATTACAGGCTCTCTCTACATATTCCTCCACCTGTATGGGGAAGCAGGACTGTCCTCCTTCCCAGTCACCCATCAGTTCCCCCCCACATTTATTCCCTGTTTTACCATCAGGATGAGGCTGGAGAGCAGGAGCAGCTCTGGAGTTGGGTTATGAAGGAGTTTCCCACTAGGTGGTAGTGAAGAGAATCCTGTCACACGTATGGTCACTACAGTTTTAATTGTGTTTATCAAGGCTCCTACAAGCAAATAGCCCAGCATAGCTCCCAGCTCTACAGTCAGAACTGGATCTCTTGATTTTTATTTTTTTGTTGCCTTCCCTTTCTGCTCATTTCCATGCTATTTGTTCCTCCCAAAACCAAGCAGGGTTGACAACTCTACCTGTCATGTCCTTTCCTGAAAGGTGAAGTGTCTACATGAAGCTACTCTGGTTCTTTCCACCTCCATTAGAGCAGAATCAAGACATGGTTAGCTAAATGTCATCCTCTGACATTTAAACAACTTGGAGGTGAGGACTCTTTGTAGCCAGTACTTTCATCTGATTTTTCTCCACCACACTTGCCTCTGGGAGCTAACCTTCCAAATATAAAAATTAAAAAAAAAAAAAGGTTTTGTTTGCTCCTAGTTTTGAAATACCTTGACAGGTCTAAGCAGAGCATCAGCCTGCATCAAAGGTTCCAGACAGAACAGGTATTTTGGAAGGACTTTGTAATGTCAGAGTAAACTGTCACTGAAATTCAGAGTAAAGCTCTCTTGTAGGTCTAAAGAAAGACTGTACAAAAGATATGCTGAGGAAATTATCTGGGGAATGCAAGCAGTGCTCCAATTTGCAGTAAGAGCAGATGCTGGGTCTGCAAGGAGGAATAAATTTCTCCTGTGAATTCATCCCACTGCTATCCTGTAATGATAAAGCAAGCTTGAAAAGTCATTTAGTAGTCTAGTCACAAAGCCTGAGATGCTGAAAGAAATTGTACTTTAATTGCTCATCAGCTATAAATCATTTGTGCCAAATTAATGTGCTGGAAATTTTGCAAGACTGAGAAACTGGAAGCTACTTCAATAAGGACACAAAGCAGGGATATTGTTTCATAGATACCAATATCAGTTTAACATCCAATTCTCAGGGAAAAAAAAAATTGAGGAAGGCTCTTTAGTGCCAAGACAAGGCTGAAGCCCTGATTTATCTTTCCCTGCAGTGATTTAAAAGGACAGAGAGGTTCTTTTTTTCCTCTTACATTTACTGTGTTATAATCAATGAAAAGGGTAGCACAGACATTCCAGACACTTGGGTTTCCACCACAGCAGGGAGGATTCCAAATTATTTGGTCATTATCTAAGTGTTCCTGTAGATTTTCCTGCTGTGCTGAGGGAGAACAAAAGCAGGGAAGTTCTCTGTTGTGCAAGTCCTACCCAGAGCCTGAGTATCTTTTACCTTTTGTGTGTATGTGGGAACTCCAGAATTTCCTCCAAAATGGACCGACTTGTCTGTGTACCCAGAGCTCCAGGTTCTGAGCATGGCTCCTCCTCTCCTTGCACCACATCCACCAAAGCTCTGTGTCCACTGAGCTGGGCACAGGGACTGTGTGTGGGGTGTTAGAGGAGGGGCAAAGATCAAATAGGGGAGGAAGTTTTGCGAGGTAGTCCAGCCTGAGCTGGATGGGAGGGAATGTTAGCATTCCTCACCCTCCCGTCCTTCCAGCACACTCAGCTGCCAGGACTGACCCCAGCAGGGAGTCCATGAGCTGGCCAGTCACAGTACTTGGAGTGTTTCCACCTCACAGCTGATAAATCCGATTCTCAAACAGATGCTGGTAAGTGGGTAAAGTGCTGATTATGTCAGGAGCACTAAGGTCGTCCCTGTCCACAAGGCCAAAGGGCCGTGAAAAATCAGAGGATTTGGATGCTGAAGTGACACAACCCAAATCACTTGTTTTCGAAGCACAAAATACAGGGGGAGAAGCCCTCAGAGTCCAGCACCATCTTAATGACAGCACTGTTTAACTAGGACAGAAGAATCCCAGGCGTCACCTCCACCAAGACCAAGAGAACCTGTGTTGCATATGCAGCATCCTCCTGCTGCTGCATCCCAGAACTTCAGGTGGCTGCAACATGTTGCAGTTTCCTCTGCATTGATGCAGGAGCTGAGCTAGCAAGGATGAAGGGATCCACCCAGGACTACACAGCAGCTGCTGACAGAACAGAGGTGAAATGAGATATTCTTTATTTTTAATCCTCTGTCACGACCACACACCCCGCTAAGATTTTTCCATTTAAGAGAATAAATGAGATGGACAGAATGAAATTAATTTATTCAATCCACTAACAGAAATAAACTACAGTGGGCTCCAAATTGCATCTGGCATCCCTGCAGGTGCAATGAGAATGTCCTAATGTCCCATTAATTTTCTGAAGATTGTAGAGATTAATGCATAGAATTTCTCCATACTTTTTTTTTTTTAAAACAAATGCCTATTTTTACCAGACCCAGGCATTGTTCTTCTATTTATATTCCATGCAGTTACGTCATGTCCAACTGTATGTTCAAACTGGCTCTTGTCCCTCCCACGCTGGAAGGAACAATGAATGGGAATGCACAGCTGGACTGGGACAACTGATCCAAACTGCACAAAGCCCCACTTGCACAAACTGCTGCAAGTGAACTCCCAGGAGGTGGGAGCAGAACACACCACTTCTGCATTTGGCAGAAACAAGGAAGGACGGAGGGTTCGGCAGCAGAAACCGGGGAGGGGAGAGACAAGATCAGTGTAAATGTAGCAGTTCCCCTGCCTGGGACTTGTGCAGGTTTGATACAGGGCTGGTGATAACACAGAGCATGTAATTTTTATTTGGTCAAAGCACATGGAACGTTATTTTCCTTCCTTAAAAACCCACTTCGAGCATCTCATCCTACCGATTTTACTTGGTTTCCAAGAGCGCAAATTCAAAAACACGGCAATCTCCAGAAATACCTGTGAATTTAATAAATTAAACCGCCGGCGTGTATGAACTACCTTACCTGAACGGTGCATTTACAACCTCACCCTCCTTCCGAGGAACCCCACAAACCCCTTGGGGGGTCACGGGCTCCTGCGGGATGCGGGGATCGGGCGGGAGGAGCCCGGTACCCCGAGCGGAGCGGGGTCACCCCCGGCCACCGGGACGGAGCCGAGACAGCCCCGCCAGCCCGGGGGAGCTGACCCTGGGCCGGGGGTCGCGGGGAGAGGCTTCTCCGGTGCCCGCTGCGGGAAAGGAGACGGCGGCTCGGGAGTAACCGCGGGCATCACCTCGGGCATCGCGGCTTCCCGCCGCAAGCCCGGGGAAGCCCCCATCCTCAAAACCCACCCGCTTTCCGCGCTGCCTTTCTGCCGGAGGGAGCTCCGTCGCTCCCACCCGGTGCCCCCGCGGGTCCCGGTGCCCGCAGCGAACCCGCCCGCCCGAGGGGCTCACCCCGAGAAGCGGCAGCGGCGCGGGCGGGCCCGACAACCAACGCGCCCCTGCCGCCCCGCCGCCTCCCTCCGCTCCTCTGTCCCGTCCCACGGCGCCTGCGCGCGGCCGGCGGCGGCACGTGAGGGTGTTGTGGGCACGTGATCCCCCGCGCGCGGCCCGGGCCCCGCCCCCTCATTGCCCCTCCCCCCCCCGGCGCGGCCCCGCCCCCGCCGTGCGCGAGCGCGGGCACGCGGCGCGGCCTGGCCCGGCCGCCCGGTGCCGCCGCCTCCCGCCC